CAGCCAGCTCGGCCAGACTGGCACACCCACCCAGCCATCATGTCGGCCTTCCGGGCTTCCTCAGCTCCGCCTCGCCTCGCTTTGGCCGGACAGGGGGAGGAACACTTGGCAGTTCAGAACAAAAGCAGCAAACGAACCGACCGAGTGAAGGGGGAGGAACAAACGACGTCTCTAACACCAGCTTTTAAACCTCCCAACTTCGACATATTCGCGTCTTCAGTGAGAATCAAGCAGCGATTCCACTCCCACGGCGAAAGGGGAAACTTGTCCGCCTCGGATCTTTGAATCCTGACCGTAATCCGTCGAAGCGGTCGGTAAAAAAAAAATAAGCCAAGGGTCAGCCAGATAGATGGACGGTATTGTTTCCTCGCCCGGTGCCTCTAACTTCAGCCATATATCCACCGGGAACAGTCCATAGAGTCGAGTTTGGTCGGAGCGGAACCTCCGGAGGGGGATTCTGGGGGTATTTCGGCAATTTAGGTAAGTTTATTTTTATGTTTCACTGAAGCGTGTCTGGCGACGAAGTGCGCCTGTGCAGCAATGAAGCGTTTTAGTTAGTACGCCACAAAGAAGCAGGGGGAGAGATACTGGACCGCTATTGTTTCTGAAACACTCAAACTTTTACAGCTTTTTATCGAAACACATAAAACATAAGAACCAATAAACTAGTCTCTGTGTGTTGAAAGTACCGAAACCGAGGAAGGGGGGTGGGGGTGTTCTCTCCCTGTGGGATTTAAATGTCTCATCAGTGACTAACACCATGATATGTGACCTATGTTTTCTTCCCTTAAAAAACACATGAGCCCAGTTCCAGCTACTTGTTAGTGATTCATTTAGCCTTTCTGACTAAAAACTCCTCATTTGTTCTGAGAAAATCACTTCTTTGTTGGGAAAAAAAAGTTAAGGAAAGTATTTCCTGACAACTTTGTATAGTAAATCTAACTCTAAAGGGGTTTTGATGTGTAAAAAGCTGTATTAAAAACTGCAGTAAGGTAACACCTGTTGATTAATGACAATTTATCTTTCTTTTCTTCATATTAACTATTGAATCCTACTTGTTTATGCGTTTGACCTGTCTAGCCGTAGACGTGTGTCTGACTAATCTTTCTTCTTCAGGTTTCTGTTGCCGTATCTTTCCCTGCGAAGAGGCTGCCTCATCTCTCAGGACTGAGAACTTGGAAGTGAAACAAAGGCCAATCAGCCAGGGTGAGAAAGCAGACACTGGTGGATTCCTTGTAGACTTTCATTCCTTGTGCTCCCACCCCTTTAGGACCGATCCCCTCTAGCTCACGCAAAACAAAAGTCATTCACCACGCTTTTGGGGGAGGGGAGAGGGACTGGACACGGTTTTGTTGAGAGCTTGAAAAAAAAAAAAGTAGGAGAACGACAGAGGAGTGTTGTCCGTGAATTGACTTTGAGAGTAAATGAAGAACAGAAAGTTTTGAAAACAGTTTATTCCTTCGAACAGATTGTCCTTCTTTGCCCTGTGATCTTATCGCTGACAGATTGTGAAAGGAGCAAAATATTAACTTTATCACTGTTTTTTTTGTTTGTTTGTTTTTTTCTCTCTTCCAGATGGCGGAACATATTTTAATCGCCGACGTGACGTCATACGCTGGTGTGGCGTCGTACAACGAACGCAACGGCAGAGACGGACCTCTTGTGGACCCAGACGAGCCTTTTGAAGTTGACGTAATAGAGATCGAGAGTGAAGAAAAGGCGCAAAAAAGACGCTCTTCCAAAAAGCTGCGGCGCTCTCCCAGCTCAGCGGAAAGCAATGCCAGCGGCGTGGCCAGTTTCACCACCAACCATAACTCTGTCGTGTGTCTGCCTCTGGTCTCAGAGGGGCTCAAACTGGTATGGACCCAGTCGGATCAGACTCGAGAACTAGACTCCATTGAAGAACTTGTCCATGCCTTTAACTTATTTCCTTACCCTTCCTCTAAAGAAGTTAGCACACTGGCTCGGGTTTGTATGTTGCCCCTGGACAAAGTAAAAGTGTGGTTCATGGTGCAGAGGATTAAATATGGCATTAGCTGGTCTTCAGAAGAAATTGAGGAAACCAGGAGGAAGTTGGCTGTGCCAGAGGTTTCTGGATACCCTGATGAAACAAACAAGGGTAGCTCTAAAAATAAGAGTAAAAATTTGGATGAACTTGTAACTGAGGATAAGCACAGCGATAGGGAGGAATGTGATATTATTGGTTTTCTACCAGAAACAAAAAAGTTGAAATGTGAGTCCCCTGATTCTCATAGATCTACAGTCCCCTGTTTCACATCTAGTCTCCCACCGCCTCAGGATTCTTATTTCTACCGCTCACCAGCTCACACCCCGCCGACAACAGCTGACGTCTCCCCTGACCCCTCAGAATCCTCCGGGCAGCAGTATCGGCACGGGCGCTACAAAAAGTCAAAAGCCCAGCTTGCTGCCCTGCGGAAAAGCTTTCTGAGGGAGAATTGGCCCGCCGAGCCGGAGCTGAAACGCCTGCAGGAGGAAACGGGTCTGAGCCGCAATGACATTCGTAAATGGTTCAGTGACAGTCGTTATCAGTTGAGAGTTGGTCGTGGAAGCCTGGCAGCTGCCCAGACCCTTTCCCACCAATCTTCTGTCGGAGGTAAACATGAACCAGAAACTCAGCCTCTCTCTCTTACTAATCCAAAATCTCGTCAGGTCAACGGGGTGAAAAGCCACGAGGGAAACAGGAACAACGGGATCAGAAATTCCCATTTCTTCCAGACTTTTTTGTCCAACAGTTTAGAAGCGTTTGGGGAAAAACTCCATGAGAGACAAACGCATGAAGTTGTTGAAGAGCTTTCTGGAGATGAAGATGCTCTCAAAGAGGAGGAACAAGTCGAAGAAGAACCGCTGCAGTTGACCAAGACAAGCAAGACTGAGCCAGATGTTGTAGAGTTAAAATCTTCCCCCTGCCCCTCCCCGCCTCACACTCCCCCGCTCACCTCCTCCCTTAATAAAACCTTTTCACACAGAAACCGCACATCAAAGAAGTCATTGCATTCAGCTAAGGTCAGTCCCTCGCAGACACCCACATGCTTCTCTGGCGCTTCCACGTCTACATCCCCTGCGCTCACTCCTGCGGGACGTCCCAGGAAGACGAAGGAGCAGCTGGACGTGTTGAAGCAGCACTTTCTGAAGTGCCAGTGGCCCTCTAGTGAGGAATACACCGAACTCGTCAAGCTCACAGGTCTACCCAGGGCAGATGTTATTCAGTGGTTCGGCGACACGCGCTATGCGGTCAAAAATGGCCAACTACGCTGGGTGAAGGGGGTCCGTGAGCAGTTCTTAGCAGAACTCGCTGCTCAGCAAAGCGGCAGCGGTTTGTCGAATGGATCTAGATCCTTCACTCGTGGGGGCAGGCGCAAGCGAAAACTCAACAGAGCAAATACAGATTCTCCTGATATCCAGCCCTTGGTATCGTATTACCTCACAGCAGGCACACTAAACGAAAAAGACCTTGACCTACTATGCAACAAATCAAGAATGAGCTACCAGCAAGTAAGAGACTGGTTTGCGGCCCAGGAGGTGGGAGAGACCGACAAAGAAATAGTTGTGTCCTAGGACCTTATGATGAAACATCTCTAACACAACAGGTTTGAATTTTATTGTGGTTTATGTTGCTTTAAATGAGGCAGATCCAGTCTTCCCAGAACAAACCCAAAGTGAGGTTTGTGTATTTTTTTTATATATATATAGATACATTGCGTTTCCTGTCTATCCTAATATATTTAGATCTGAATTATATTTCTACTGGCTCAGTTTCTGGAAATAGAGCAGTAACCTGTACACTGGTTTGCTATATATGTATTTTTTTTTTTAGCTCTTTTTCATTCAAACATCACTACAATTGTGTTTTTTGTTTTGTTTTTTTGTTGGTTTTTTGTTCTAATGTATTTGTAGCATTATAACTTCAGCAATTAAATAGCTGTAGATCCAGAGAAAAAAAAACTACACTGACAAACCTGTTGACTGATCATTGTAACCGTTCCTTTCTGGCCATTATGTTTTAAAGAAAAGCACACTGGACTTGCTCCTTGTAATAAAACATCTAGCACTTTGGTTTTCCAACCTGCTACCCCTATGTTAATGAGGTCATAATATTTCAGTCTCTGCGAATTACTCTCTCTTATATTTTTTTTACTACCTTCTGCAGAACCAAACACATTTCCTTATTAGTCTTGTCACTCTGTTGAAATGCTTTACTTTCCTTTTGGGTAATTTTCCTACCATTTGCATTCCAAAGCATCTCTCTACAATAAAAGTTACAGCAGAGATTATGTTCTAGTCGTTGATCTAATGAGTATAGTTCTTTGATTCCTTAATAGGTATAAGGTATAATGTTGAGGATTAACATTTTGTCTGATTAAAAGGACAAAAGGCAGGTTTTTGGAAGGAAAAATGAACCAAAAATCCAAAAGATAAGATTTTTACCAATTTTCCACAGAGTGGAAGAACTATACAACAGCTGCACATCTTTAGAAATTGTCTTCGCTGAAAGAGTTTTAGCTCTTTGGGAAACGTTCATCCAAATGTTTGAACAACCAGGAACTTCACAAACCGTGTGTCACAAATGCTTTTCCTCCTGTTGCTCATGAAAAGATAATGCAATGCTGCTGATCTAAGCTTGTACATGTAAGGTCTTCCATTTGTTTCCCCCCGCTCCAGTTTGAAAAGAGAATTTTTTTTTTGCACAATTGTGTCACTGGAAACAAGTAAATGTTTTTTGCATTATAATCAAGTGTACAGAGATATTTTTCTTTGTGTGTGTTTGTTATGAATACAGACTCATGTGCTTAGATTGTTGTGTGTAAATTTTGTTCTGAAAATAATCTATAAAATGATTTCTATTTTAAACTGGTTCTAACATGTGCTTCGAGGAAATTAAATGGCCAAAACTCAAAAGCGAAGTTTCTACATAGGGTTTTACTCATGCCAACGATTAAAATTGTAAATTTTACAAGGGTATTAAGCACAAATACAATGTATTTGTGCTTAACTTATATTGTTGCTTAGATGAATAAATCCCCAACTAATGGTCGATGCTCTTCAAAGATGCTCCCATTAATCACTGCCTGGGGGATGGGAGTGTGAGTCCAGATGCAAATGGGAACTGGAAAACAGGGGTCTGGGTTCTGGGGATGACAAAGAGGAACGGATTAATTTCTATGGTGGAAAAAGTTCTAGGGGTCCATCTGAATTATGGCAATCTGTAAAGACAGTCAGTGGTTGCCATGATAAGTGCTGTCTGGATATGCAGTGGTTTAATTGGCATAGGAACCTACAGTACTCCAGATGAGGGGGGGATGGCATCCCCCTTCTAAAGTGTCCACCCCCCCGTACCATCCTATGTGACATTTTATTACTGATTGTATAAAAGTTCTAAAAGCAGTAATGGCAATACTATTGCCCTTTCATCATTTGGCGGGTTGTGGGCTTAGGAGTAGCCTGAGCAAAATAAATAAAATCTAAGAAGTGGCCTACCATGACTATGAAGCGGATCCCAGTTGGAAATTTGTCCATAACTATGTAGGGGAAGTGATGGCCAAGTAAGGTGCCTTGGTCAAGGTCAATGACCGGCGCACCTGACATGTAACAACCATACCATGCATATTACTTTAAGTTAATAGACTATATTAATTACGCTATGTATGCTTCCAAAAAAAAAAGAACATTCCACCATTCCCTTTCTCTTTTTTTTTTTTTTAAACTAGACAACTGGGGACCTCCCAATGTGAATGAAGTTTATAGTCCTTGCTTTGACAAACTCATCCTTGTGTGTTTCCGTTACATGATGTTAGTAAGGCAGCAGTCAGGAGTTCCTTTCCAACCCTGGATGTTTTTACTGTTCACCCCACAGAAGGGGAACAAAAAGGAGGTGGAAGCTATGGTCTATCAGTATGCAGCAAATTAAAGGCCTTAGCTTTTTTTCCCCCCTTTACCTTTCATTGGGTCAACATGAAGAACACAACTGTGGGTACAAGAAGTCCGGACCGCTGTGCCAAACCTGGGAAGCCTTCACTCTTACAGATATCATTGTGTGATAAAAATCACAAAATGAGTCAAATTGGGACTACAACCCACTCTGAAAAAGAACTACAAAAAGCAAGACACATACATGAAGTGAAGAACTGAAAATATGTGAAGCTGTGTAGATTTGCATTTCATACACAGTACATGTGAAGACAATGTATTTTTGTTTAACCCTGAATTAGTGTGTGCCTATTCGTCCTGACACACACAGGATTGTGGGAATCCATAGAGCTCCTAAGTACCAGACAGGCATGTCATTAGGTCCCTATGCTTAATGAACAATTGATGGGACACATCCTGCTTTCTTTCCCTACCACTTCCTTTACTGACAGCCCATATGATGCAAACCAGCTTTGCCTTAAGAGTCCTTACTGATTTGCTGTATTTGGATTGAGCCTAAGTGGAAATCACTTCAATTTTAAGTTTAGAGGATCCCTAGAAGTTCTTCCTTACCTCGTAGGAGTGCCCAAAGATCGCGGTGTCCCTTAAAAGAAAGAGACAGATAGATGATGATGATATTATTAGATTTGATTGAGTCATCTTTGATCAATATTTTCAGTGGGACTCACTGTATTCATGAAGCGGGCTGTGGCTGGACAAGGAGGCAATGGATCCAGGAGTCTGATAGAAGGAAAAGAGTCAAATGCTTCTGCATATAATTTAATAAAGAATAAAAAGTGTGTTTAAACCTTTGAATACACACAGTGAGAGAGATCCCTCTATCTCTGTTCCACCGCTGAGACTCTGCCGACCCTACAAGGCTGAGGCAAGATGCATTTTAAAGTGTTACAAAGAGAAGAAAATATTAGTTATTTAAAGTAATTCAAAGCAAAAATCTTTAGTGTTTTATTGATAATGGCATCTAGCTAAACAATTCATTTTTTTAGACAAAAGAAATACATACTGTATATACCTTGATCTACTGTATATATATTGTTTATTCTTAATGCACCTTTTTCCTCCTTGTTTGCACCTTCTTAATTACTATGCCAATATGTGACCAGTGAATTTCTCAGCTGTGAGATCAATAAAGCTCATCTAATCTAATCTAATATTGCATGACATTGGATGTCTATGTGTATGCACTGAATAGCTGCTCTGGGTATTTTTTGCATTAATGCAGGGAAATTAATATAATATAAACGTATTGCTCTACTGAGCTATAAGGGAAGCTAGAGTTACTTTAATAACAGTGTTAACATATAACAGACACATCTATCTGTGGGGGCTGTTGAAGCTCTGAAATGGGGTTAGCTTGGGGACATTTTTCTTACACGCTTTTTTCCATCCACTCAGCTTTCCAATATCACACCAGAATGTAAAAGGCGTGTTCTTTAGCAGCGTGTTAGGAAAATGATCCTGACGGAAAATGGTTTGACTTACTAAAATATTTTTTGGACTTTTCTGTGATATTTTAATAAATTGATATGAGCCTGTTTAAAACAGAGAGCACAGAGAAACCACAAAACATTTAAATATTTTGAATAAATTCAATATTTGGTTTCCACTTAATTCAAAGTGAATATAACATATAGTTTAGTTATAGGTTGAAATATTTCAAGCCTTTCTTTCTTGTAACTAAGAAGGCTTACTCATAATATGAAATATAAAATTCAGTGTCAGAAAATTATATTTTAAACAAAAATATCAAGATGTTCATTTCTATACAGCTAATACTTGATATTGCTTCCTTTTGAGGAGAAACTCTAGTTTTGTTGTTGTATCAGTTGCTTTTTGTGTTTGTTTATTGTCATGGAGCTTTGTTAGGTGCAGTTCAGATGCTTGTAGCCCACGTGTAGGACTAAGTACAGCTAATAATAGCTTACACTGCAAAAACAATCTAGAATAAGATACTATTTCTTAAGTTAAGTGTATTTAGTCTTAATTTCAGTAGGTAAATAAGATGATTTGCAAATGGAATGAATATTTTTACTCCTAAAATAAGATAATTAGATAATATGCACTTCAAATAAGACAATGCGATGCTTTTTTATCTTAAATGTAAATTGTCTTGCTGCATTGGCAAAGTGTCTAACTTTCCTCCTCAATTCAATAAAAATGCACTTAATTAAGGAAAAAAATTGCTTATTTAGATTTCAGTTTTTTGCAGTGTATGAAATCTGGGTGTAATTATGTACTCAGACCTGAACCTCCACCTACAGAAAAAGGTGGCCTGTCACTTGATGAGCATGTGCAGGATAGATGGGCAAATGTCCTTTCAACATCTTAAAAAGCTCATTTGTGCATTAATTATTATTTATGGGGGGGGGGAGTGGCGTCCAAGTGGTTGATCCCCCCCCCTCATAAACCTCTAAAGATATCTCTATTCCTGATACCCTTTACACCTCACTTTTTCCTTCCCCTCAACTTTCTACAAATAAGCTTGGATACAGAACTCTGTGAGGCTTGAGAAACGTTTGCAAATGTTTAGTTAATTAGCTATTTAAGAAGTTTACAATATCAACATTTTGCACAATCTTTCAACATTTTTTTATTTATTTTACATACATGAAAAAAATGAAGTTGAATAATATATTCTGTATAATAAATCTAAATAATAAACAAGTTCCCTTTCATAAAATGAATGAAAAAATATACCAACTTTTTTAAGGATAGCGCCCAGTAAAGTAAGTGGCCTACCTGGTTGTTCTTGATCGAGGGGTAACTGTTAAAATAAACAACCAACCATTGGAGCAATTTATACTGAAACTGAAAACAACTCTGAAAAGGTTATGGGTAAAAAAAAACAAAAATACCCCACTGGGAATCCATGGGCGTACCTGGAGAGGTGACAGCAACAGGCAGAGAAACCCTCTGAGCTCTGTGGTGCAGAACAGAAAGAGCTGATGTCTAATGTTGTACAGTTTGTGATCCACTACTGAGGCGAAGAAACATTTACCCGTTAGATTGAAACTGTCCAGGAGAAATCTGTGGCACAAAAGAAATAAAGACTAAAGTATTTATCAAAATCCTACATGGGAGAGGAAGGTGTGGTTTGTTTTTTTCTTCACTTGCCCTCCTTTGAGAGAGTGGCTTTCTCAGGTCGGCAGTTTCTCTCCTCAGCTCCAACAGCTGCTTCTTCAACTCTGCATTTTCTTTTTTCACCTCTGAAAGTTGCCTTGTGATAAGAGGAGTGGGAGGAAACAGAGTCACCATCTCAACCTTCTCTATTTTTTGCACAGCTACTGCACGACAACAAAAAATCACCTATGACCCTGATCGGAAACTTCCCGCAGACGCCTCTCCAGCTCAGAGGATTTGTTTTTAAAGTGATATATGACTCTCTCCATCTGCTTCTGCTGGAAAACAGCAACCTGTGCCACATGACAAACATTTCAAAGATACAATAAAAAAAATAGCATCATTAATCAACAGATGAAGCCACAAAGATAAGACAGACCTGGGATATTTTTGCTATGGTCGACTGAAGGAGTTTCACAGGGTCCATGAAAAAAACTTTTTCCGGTGTCTTCATCTGAGGAAATAAAAGTAAAAAGAGATGACATGTTGTCCAACTTCTAACATGCACCGAAGATCAAGTCAAATGAACAAACCCCATCCGTGATGGGCAGGTAACTGCAGCTTGCCCCGCATATGCAGCACTGGTCTGAGGGCAGAAAGAACAGAACAGAAGAGGCATCGAACATCATCGGAACACCAGAAAGTGATTTTTTAATTAGCCAAACAAATCAGGAGAAAATTGCCTCACTTGATTTAATGCAACCTTCGCAGCAGATGTGGCCACAGCTAGAGACGGCAAACTTCGACCCGCTTTTCTTAAAGCACTGGTTGCAGTGGAACCAGTCCATCTTTGATTTCTACAGTTTCCTGTTGGGGTGCGGTCCTTTGGTGAGAAATGAACTTGTTCACATTTTGTGATGCTAAAATCTGCAACTATTAATGCAATCTATTGGGTTTTATGTACTGAACAAAAACATTCCAGTGCTTAACTTTGCATAAGAGGGGAAAAGGTAGAGTAGCAGCCATTGATGGGTGTGTATCTTTTTACTCTAACTCCACCCTTTCACTGAATTACAGGGTCTGACCAGGAGATGACACTTCTCTTTAGATCTCAAAATCCACATATTATAACAGAAAGAATATTTTAGTAAAAAGATTGATATTTAAAAAGGAATTCCAGGGGACCAGCCAAGGGAAAATGTGGAAATTTTGAATGGCAACTACTGTACTCGACTTCTTCAGAAGTACCCTGTATTACATGCATCCACCACAGCATGATGCTGCCCCTACCATGTTTCCCTTTTGGGATGAAGGACAATTACAATATAACAAGCTCCCCATTTAAATGATTTTTAACCAACACTTGTTTCACACAAATAATTGATTATATTGTTTGAATAGTGTAATTAAAGTGTTCAAAGTCTTTCACACTTTTTGCATTGTGGTAAAAACTGAGTTCTCTTTCATGTTTTTGCATTTACCCCTTTAGGACTTTTTATACTACCTTTCAAGGATGGTCATCCTCTTCACAATTCTTAATAAATTGCAGATTTGTGGGATGTGACTAGTTGCACTCCAGCTCAAAATATTTTACCCATTTTAATAAATTTTTTGTTGGTAAGTTAACTAAATCCCATTTATCCAGTTCTAGCTAACCTAACCCATTACAATTGTAGCTATAGCATTTTTTTTAGCCCTAGCAATACTAGATTTAAATGCTTCTAAATAAAATGACAAATTTCACAGTAACATGTTAATTTAAGGTGGGGTTAATATAAAGTAGTAAATAGTTAAGGGAAACAAAACTCGTTTTGTTTTTCCTGCATCAACATGAAGACGTTTCCGTCTAGAAATGGAGAGTAACAGAATAGCTAGCTAGCTTTAGCATTTTGCGGGCTTTTAAAGAGGGGAAGTTAACAGAGCATAATTGACTAAAAAACGCAGCTTATGTTAAATTAAAATATTTTTCCATTACCTGTCCTCCTCGAGAAAAATCCCACCCTCTACTATAAGCTTCAGTTTCAAGGTTACTAATTAACTCCTAAGGATGGAATAAAAATGCAGATTTTAAGCAGAATCAACCAGAGCAGCTGTGCTACTTTATTCAAAGAAAAAGTTTACATTAATCTTCGACTTAGTTGTGTTATAGGCCTACAGGCCACCCATTTAAATGGACAACTGTACAATTAAAATAAAAAAAAAATATAAAAAAAAATATAAAGTAGCCGTTTTAATGAGCAAAATACACCAATAAAAATATGACAGGTGGTTATACAGTAGATCAAATTTATATAAAAAAAATAATAATAAAAGACGGACTTTGCGTAATGTTCCTTTTAATGGCCAGTTGTAGATTTAAACCTCATAAATTGCTTAATATTCAAGCTGAAAACCAGTATTGTATGGAAGCCTGTTTCCGCCACATAAAAGTAAAAAAAATGACAAATAGAAAGTAATGACTTTCAAAGTCATAATTATGACTTTGAAGTTGAAATTAGGACTTTGAAAGTCAAAATTATGACTACCTATTGGCATTTTTTTTTTACTGTCTTGTGGCGGAAACAGGCTTCCATTGCATTGTTTTCCAAATCAGCAGAAAATATTGCAGACATGTTCAAACTGCTAGAACCAAATATTTCCCCCCACTGCCGCGTTCTCTACCTTAGAGGCTGCAGTTATTTTTTATTCCTGCCAACAGCCATAACTTCATCCAATGTTCACTTTGTCAACTCGCTGCAGCAAGTTAAGCCTTTATAGGGCACTCAGTAAAATACTTCGAAAATCCAAATTTCAAGCTGATAGGATAATTATCATTGAAGATGTGTGAGTTTATTACACCTTGGTGTTGGCTGCCTGTTGTGTGGCAAAACTGATATTTTCCACAATAGTTAATCTAATTAGGACATTTCCTCTGTCCGGATATACAGTTATAATTTTCATTTTGCACGTGGCAAAGATTTTGAAATGGAATGAGGGCGATGTCCTTCAGCTAAGAACAAAGTGTAATATTTTGATAAGACTGGAGCCATGGATGTCTAATCATCTAACGTGTATGATGCAGAGGAGTAGCCAGAACATTTTTATAAGGGTGTCCAGACAATAACCAATGTACACTGAGGGGGGACCGAAATCAGATAGGCACCAAAAGCTCTAAATAAAATCAAACTATACTTTCCTACAGCCTTTGTTAAACTTCCGTAATTTCTAGATAAAAAAAGTTTAGTGGATAAAACTCAGTTTTGAGTTCTAGGGCATAAATCTTTTCCATTGTCAAACATTCTGCATAAAATTGATATTTACAAGCACTAATATCTAAAATTTGATCATTTTAATAACTTATTTCACTGAAGACTTCTAGATGACTTGCAGAGACAGTTTTATCCCATATAAACAAATGTAGCTCTGAAAAGAGCATGAATTCTGTACTTATTTGATATATGGTGTGTATAATTAACCACAAAAAAAATTTAAATGTTTTGAATATTCCACGCATGCAATTCTGCTGCCACCATCTGTATTGGGGGGGGCAGGGGTGGCCACGGCCACCCATCTAGCATATGGAAGACTGGAGATGTATAAAAATGCCTTAACTGTTAATTGGGGCCACTTCCTGAGAGGAGAGCAGCGGCCTTCTGTACATTCCAAGCAAATTCTGATCCGAGTAAGATTACAATTTCTATCAAAATTGCGTCATTTCTCATGGTTACCTAATACATTTAAGTCATGAAGTGTTTTAAAGAGTTTGTCCCAAGTGATCCCTTTTCAGGGAGGGGAAAAAAAAAAAAAAAAAAAACCCACACACACACAAATGCTTCTAGACTCTTGAAGAATTTTTTTGGTCCAACCTTCGAGGCATTACTGCCAATACTGGCACCTACATTTTAGTTTATCAACCTAAATATAATTGTTATGCTTCAACTTACTCTTCCTTGACTGTTTAACTCTGACACTTAATTTACAGTAGGCAATACATCATTCAAGGGCTCATCTAATTGGTTGACTTTAGGTTAATTTAAATTCTGTTACATAAGGTTATTTTCAGAGAGACTAGGACAAATTATTCAATTGTAAAGACTTTAATAGCAAAATTCACAGTGACACAACTCCAGTTCATAAGTTTTCATCTCAGGCAGCCTGGTCGGTAATGGTAAGCGGCCCGATCACCGCCTTCTTGACCAAGCCTTTCCCTAAAAGAAAAATTCCATTAGTACAAGAGGAGAACGCAATTAATTGTGCAATATTCATACCTGCTCCTGGACTCCTTGCTTTCCTAGTCTTGCAGGTAGATTCACAGCAATCACATAAACCACTGAACGCAGGGTTATCCAGTAGTTCCCAGCTGAATAAAACAAGCAAGATGTTAACCTGGGCTTAAGGACATTTACCAAACAAGGCAATTTGTTATTACCCGTGCTCTTTGACAAAATGGCAGGCCTTCTTTGTGTTGTCAAGACCATTGGGATCCCAAGCAACCATGGTGCAGTGGATGTAAACCTGAATGATTGATATCTTTAGACACTCACAGCCCACAAGTATATATATAAAAAAAAAGTAGAATTTACCTCCTGCTCAAGGCCAAATTTAAAGGCCTGAAGAGACAGTCGGATCTCTGATTCCATCAGCCTGGGCTCAAATTTTGAGCGTGAAGCTTTGCTGTCAACAAGACACCTGTAAGGTTGAGAAAAAAAAAAAGTTATTAGTTTTAGGATGTGGTAAAGATATTCTTACATAAGGTTAACATACCCTTTATTGGTGATTATGGTGTATATGTCACCATCAGTCTGAAGGTCTGGTTTGGTGGTAGCAACACATTCCTCTAGAAGGATTAGCAAGGGTTGGTGGTTCACCTGTGCCACACTAGCCATGATGGGGATCATGGAACCCAGAGGAAAAATGGGAGACTCAGCAGGGCCTGAAAAGTCAGCTAAAAAGCAGCCAGAGACATTTTCTTCAATTATACACATCCATGGTCCGGGATTTATTTTAGTGACAAGTCCTACCGTTCATGAGTTCCATGTTAAATACTAGGTCCTCTACCCCATATGTGGAAAAGACTGGATCGTAGATCATTGGGTACCAGTTTTTAGGCCTGAATATAGGTAAAGAGTTAAGCGCCATGCCATTTAAGACTTTAAGGAATGCTACAGACTCACCTTTGGTAAGAGCAGACCACTGGGAGAATGAAGGGAGCCACATAGGAGTCAGGAGATGAAGTGTAAACCAGATCATTGGTGTAGTTCAGCTCATTGCCAGAAACCTGTCCAAAAAAAAAAAATAAAAATAAAAAAAGTACAAAGAAGCTAAAAATTGCCTCCAGTCAACCACTAATCTCCAACTCACCAATCTCCTGAAGCCACAGTCATCAAGCTCCACACTGAAAAAGGCCTCTCTCAGGGTAAAGCTGGTGGGGAAGCAACTACCAAGACGGAACAGTGACGGATCAGCCTGGGATCTGCTGTCTGACCAAACCAGGGTCATGTAGTCTGGCCCACAATCCAGTTTTATATCTGCAAAGAAAAGATTAAAAAAATAATTAAAAGATAGATGAGCAGTAAATAGAGCATTTCTAGAATCAAAATTGAATCATTACCTGCAGCAGCCAAACCAAAAGCCACCAGCCAGAAAAGGAGCCCACAACACCCAAAGGAAGCCATCATGACTGAATACTGAGCAGCTGTCCCTCCACTGGCTTTATTCTCTCCGACCGGTGAGGTTCAATCCAGTAAATGACTGTCACCTGTTGGCTTTCAGCAACCGTCACACCTGAACTGTAACCTGTCTAATTGCAGCAGGGCTCCAACTTCCTCCTAGAAGATCCAAACAAATCACTTCATTGCAATAATAATAATAAACACACACTTATTGCTTTTGTAGTGTTGCAGATCCATGTGCGATATTATCACCTTCACAGATTTCTACTGTTGCTGGTGTGACCATTCGCAGACACATAATAGAAAGAAAGATGAGATACTGTTTCCAAACCTATCTAGGGCCATTTATTGTGGCTAAAAATATTTCCAAACAAATCTGGTTTAAATATTAATTGTAAAGTTTGACTACCTGCATACAACATACTGCATCATTTAGCTTTAAATGTACTATTATATATATTATTAATATATTGAAGTAAGGAGAGATTGCTCACATGTTCATTAAGAAAACACATATGAATAAAAATTCATTTTTTATTGAGAAGTGCTTTTTTAAGAAATTTGATTCCAGTTTATCAAACACAAATTGTAGAGTCCATAAAACATGACTCTCAGGTCAGGTGTGTGGTTTCCTTATGATGAATTCACATCCAGATTATTGCATAAGGGATCCATAATAGAGTAAGAGAGTTCAAGTTCAAAAGAGTAAGTTCAAGTCTAGGAATAGCTTTATTTTTAGTTCAAATAGGGTCTAATTGTTGAATAGTTACATTTGCAAAGTTTAAAAGAGCTACTGAATATTGTCTGAAAATGAGGTGCCACAGGTATCAAGCTATTGTCAGCTAATCTCATAGTGGAAAACCAGACTGTACAGAACTTCACACAGTAAAGCTATTTAAACAAAAACTGGATCCCCAGCATCATCATTGCTGTGCAGTTTTTAAAATGCATGTCGATTTTTTTTTTTTCTTGGAAACATTTTTTTTTAGGATTTTACAAGATTAAAATGGTGTCCTAAAAAAGAAAGGTTGAATATGGTGTTCAAAACCTAATAAAAACAAAGTGACAATTTGATTTGTACAAATATTTGTACAAAAGCAAAGCTCTTCATGGTTTATTCAGACATGAACTGGATCATAACTTCAAATCAGTTCATTTATATAGTGCTAATTCACAACATGTCAACTCAAGACACTTTATAGAAACAATTGAACTACAGATTGATTCAAAGTTGAAGGAAAACTAGTTGATTGCATCGACTCTAAGGCAATCCCTCACACCAAGCATGCTTGTAGCAACAGTGGAGAGGAAAAACTGCCTTTTAACAGGAAACCAGTAACTTCAGATCAGTATTCCATCTTATTTTAACCTTAGAAATCTTTAAACTTCCTACTTTTACCAAATAACTCCATAACTTAATCAAAATGTTACTTAGTATAAAAAGCATGAGTCAAGTTAAAACCTGGAAGTCGACACCTTCATACTCCAGCACTGAATGTGATGTCTTAGCATGGCAAAACTGCACAATTAAGCAAATTTGCTGTAGTGCATTGGTATTGCCAGATTTGTTAAAGCTTTCCTCCCTATAAGCAATTCCATTTTTAGAAAAAAACCTACACTGCAGTTTGAAATTTCCATCATGAGTCAGTAACTCATTTAAATGGCACTCATTTTACTGAAATTCACACAGGGTGACAAGTTCTCAGGTATGCCAGTTTCAGTTATGGGTTGACCCAATAGTGCTAGTCAAGTGTGGCATTAGCCTCTGGTTCTGTGACGGTCCAATAGAAGCCCATGTTACTTTGATACCAGCTATCTACCCCCTAGTTCCACACCCATTTCAAATCAGTAACTCATTAAAGTAGAGTTTGGTAGCTTAAACGGGAACTCCTACTGGAAAATTAAATCCTACTGAGAAGTTGCTCACTGCTTGTCACTTTGTTTTTTTTAGAAACTGGTTTAAACGCATCGCAATGTCCAGGAATTGTTTTGTGCCTAGTCTGTGGGACCCAAATTTCAAAATGAAAGTCCTATAGAAGCAGGAATTTTGACCACTGGGCAATGATTCAGCTTTGATCTAAAACTATGAAATAAAGGCTTCAACTTCATGTTTCATATTTTCTGAAATGGTTTCAAAGTTAAAATAAAACGGGTTTAATGTGTCGTGCCAAGTCTTAAAAAAAATATATAAACAAATGAGTCAAAATTATGAACATTTATTCCACAACTACAAATTTCTCTTTAAACAAAAAGTCCATAGAGGGTCTTTATCAAAGCCAGGTCCTCGTGTTCAAAGTCTCAGGAATCACAGCTCTGCCTGCAGACTAGAGTCAGCTTAGATGTAGACTTTCCTGAAAATAGAGGATGAAGTTAGTGACAAACATTTAAATTTACTTTTTAAAAAAAAGCAAAACTCACTCAAGTTCTTACCAATACGCCAGCTGCTGCAGTCTCTGGCAAGGAGGCATTTGTCATAGAGCCTGGCTGGTCGACTATAACGATGGGTCCCAACACAGAATTAAAATGCTTGCCGTGAGGCTCTGGACAGAAAACATTTAAAATACGCATTTGATCACTGCTGCACTTTAAACAGAAAGGTCATGACAGCTGTAAAAAGAAATGTTTTGTGCACACTGTATGTAAAATGAAAATGGGGTTAATTAAAACCTACCCAAAGCAGCTGCTCTTTTGCGGCGTGGACCACAGGAAGTTTCACAGCAGTTACAGAGAAAGCTCTGATTGGGGTCATCAAGTAGCTCCCAACTGATTAGAGTTTTTAGGTAAATTTGTTTAAGTCAGTCAAACAAAAATACTTAATATATTTAACTTAAAGCCAATTTACCTGCCATCTTTCACATGACAAGCCTTCTTGCGTTGATCAAATGAATCTGGATCCCAAACAATCAGATTGCAATGAATGTACACCTAAGGAGCATAAGCATTAGTTCACTGTTGGGGGGAAAAAAATTTAAAGTGAAAGACCAGGTCAACTGGACTGACCTCTCCCATCCCAAACTTGAACGACTGAAGGTAGAGAACGATGGCAGATGAGTGGTACCGAGGAAGAAACAGGGCACTTCCCCTCTTACTTTCCAGAAGACACCTAGTAAACCCAAACACAAGTCAACATCTAGTCCAGGATACAATTTGAACAACATCGAACACCTACCCATGATTTACAACAAGAGGATAAATTTGGCTTCCAGGTTGCAGGTCTGGTGTAGAGGCTGCTACACACTCATCCATTAGCAATGTCAGAGGCTGATGAGACTTCTGTTCCACTGCTGCCCAGATTGGCATGAATGAACCGATGGGAATCACATTAGTCTTTGAAATTTCTGTTAGTTGCTCTTTAAAAAGATTAAAACAAAACGCAAGTTAGTCGTCTAAAAATCTCTACAATTTTATAAGCAAAAGAAGAACGGACCATTCAGGAGTTCCATGTGGAAGACCAGCTTACTGTGTCCCTCAGACACACCCGTACCAGGATCCAGGAACTGGGGAGCCTTTGCCTGTTCAGGTCTGAAAGGGGTCAGGTGAAGCAGTTAAAATGTGCACTTTTTTGTCACATTAAATTAAAATTGATCACCACTACCGTTTTTGGACACAGTTGATGGGGTAGGTGAAGATCGCTGGCTTTGGTTTGGCCTGTGGTCTGAAGCTCAGCCGGTTTTGGTAAATAATATGTTTTCCTTTCAGCTACAGAGAAGGAAACGTTTAGAAAAGATCAGAAAGCGTGCTGATAAATCATATAGATGCTTCTTACCTGTTTGGTAAACCTGCAGTCATAGAACTTGTAGTTAAAAGTTGCTTCTCCCTCTCCATTTGGAAGGACCTTCCATCCTGACGGCATGCAGCTTCCAAGGAAGAACCGAGCCGCATAAGGCACAAACTGGGGAGCTACTTTCCATGTGACTCGTACAGAGTCTTTTGCACAAACCACTTTAATACCTGCAGAAGGAGAAAAGAAAGAAAAAAAAATCCAGGATTATTTCACTCAAACCCTCCACATAAATAATTTTTTTGACAGATGTGTCAGAAATACCTGGATCAGCAACAGCAGTGGCCAAAGCAGCCAGGAAAGCAACACCTAGACAGAAATGAGTTATCATGACTATAGGATCTCAACCACAACCAGACTGATGTGCTTTATACACCTTTCACTTAATTAGCTGAATAATCAACACCTGTGTGAAGGCCAGGTTGTCTGGGTGGTGCTGTGTTTACTGTCCTGGGATCAACTTAATTTAAAATGAATACATTGATAAATCTATAAATAAATAAACACAAACAATGACAAGCAACAAAAAAAGTGCAGCAGTGTTTAGAGGTGTGCTTTTACAGGGATTGAAAACCATAAAAATATAAAATTTCACATGAAACCCTCTCACTTAAGTTATTTACAAGTAAAATAAAAAAATAAAAATACAAAAGTGGGTTATTTTACAAAGAACTATGAGTACAGTTTATTTCATACTGAATGACAACACTGACATGAACCTGAATCTTTATTATCTGACAAATAGGTACCACTTGATATAATAATAATATGAAATTAGATTCTGGCTGTGTTTACAGGTTCTGTTGAGAAAATGTTGCTAAAAAGAAGCAAAATCTCAAAAATAAAAATTACATTAAGGTTTTATTTGTAAATAAAAATGTTAACTATTCAGAATTTCTATACACAAAGACAGAGTAACTAAATTCACCTCATATAACCTGCCCTTAAAAATAAAATACAATTATTTCCTAGATGTTTAAAACAAATAAATTCTCCGCAATCCTAAAAACAAAATTTGGTTCTTATTCTTAATTGAAACATAAACTAAATCTCCTGATTTATCTCTGCTTATGATTTCAAAAACTTTTTTCTTCCATTTTCTTATTTATTATTATTATTTTTATTTTTTACTAATTCAATTTTAAGCTTCATTTTTTTTTAGGTTAACTTCTTCTTATTAAATATGGCTTTGAACAAATGATACACTCTGCAATGAACCCTACTTTTCTGTTATCACTAGGTGTGATATATATCCAAATACTATATTTACATTGTATATAATTATGTTTTTTTTTATTGTATGTTTTACTTTGATCAAGTAAAAATATAGAAAAACTTCAAGAAGCTTAGATGTTTAGATCTTTATTGAGAAAAAAGATTACTGAGTTAATTAACTATGTTTTATTAACTAAAATAACAATAATAATAACGATTATACTACTACTACTAATAATAATAATATTAAAAGTGTGACATACATACGTATGCCTGTCTATGGTAGGGTTTAATGTAGCGGAACCATTGTGCCGGGGTTAGGCGACAACCCGACACGGTTACGGTGTTGGTCTGCTACACAGGAAGTAGAGTAAAGTTAGCTTGACGAGCAGGTTTCAACGCGTTTATTTGCCAATTGTTTTGTTCAGTTTTGAAGTTAATTCTCTTTCTAGTAGAAATATAATTGTTCTTCAACATGCTGATCAAGGTTAAGGTAAGAAATTTGTTATTGGGGCTTAACTTCGTTAATGTTCGCTAACTGTTCCCGGTTTATTATTCTTCGGGGATATGTCCAGTCCAATACTCAGGGGTTTTATTTAATCATCTGCTCAGGAGAATGAAACAATACTTAAGTTTATGCTAAGGACTGTTATTTAATCATATAGCTGTTTAATATGGCACTTGCAAACTGTTAAACATATATATTTATTGGTCCAGATGTTAAACTGGCGCAGTTTATGTGATAGGCGGCCGACAGATATGTTAAAAGTTTACGTGTTTATTCTTAAGGCAATTTTTTTTCTTTCAAAATGTTTTATATGGATTCATCATAGTTTATTACCAATTTTCAAGGGATATGATATGAGTACGTTATGTATGCTTTATAAAGCTGGCAGTGGGTTTCTCAATATTCAAAGCATTTAATGTTTTATTAGTAAACCTACGTTACTTACTAATGTATATCGTTTTATCAATCGTCACAAAACAGCTAACTAAGCCTTTGATTATAAAAAGCTGCTTGCTTAAATTCTGTCTACGTTTTTATATCCAATTATAATTCCAGCTTTTCTTATAAGCTGCTAAAAATCACAGTGATGTTGTATGTTAGGTTGAATCCCTTTCAAATGCTTTTTGTTTAACTAGAAGCCTGTTTGTTGGGGATGGTTCATTCTCATTTATGCTGCTGATGTTTTCCTGTTTAGACCCTAACTGGAAAGGAAATAGAGATCGACATCGAGCCCACAGACAAGGTGAACCTCTTAAAGTGAAGTACAGTTTTAACTATTCAGTAAAGTTTGATTCCATTGCTCTAAAATGTTGTCTTTATGTGCTTTGACATCAAGGTGGAGCGAATTAAGGAAAGGGTTGAGGAAAAGGAAGGGATCCCTCCTCAGCAACAGAGGCTCATCTACAGCGGGAAACAGATGTGAGTTATTTCACTTTTTTTAAGATTAATCCCTGTGTGTCCTTCTTTAAAACCAGACCTCCCTCCTCCTCCTGTCTTTAGGAACGATGAGAAGACAGCTGCAGACTACAAGATCCAGGGTGGATCGGTGCTCCATCTTGTGTTGGCGTTAAGAGGCGGATCAGAAACCCACAGCTGCTGCATACACCTCTCCCCATCCTTATGAGTTGCTGCTGACCTGAGGCCTGCTGAGTGCCAACATGACGGCATTCATAACAGTGTTAGAGCTAATTAGGCCACTGCTACCAAGAAAAAATACATTTAAAACGTCAAAAATGAGAAATGGACGCTCAAATACACATGTAGATTTGTTTTGTGTTATTCTACACTGTTTTACTTGGGTTTGAATAGTTGTGGCACCACAGTTTGAAGCCTGTATGAACTTTGTTTGGGATTAAAGGTGAAAGTTGAGCTCTAATGTTGCCCCTCTCTGAATAAAATGACCACCAGACAACAGAATAAGTCACTCCTGAGAATTTCCTTTATTAGAAAACAGCAATAGACAGAATATTCAAAGACAATCGATAATATCCGCACCCTTTGGAGCGGAGTTGTGTGATCTGAATGTTTTGTAAAAGCAGAGAACATGAAATGAATCACTGAGTTAACATCGACACGCTGGTTTAAGCTCGACGTGTTTTTCGCAGCGCTTTATCCTCCAAGTGGTTGAAGTTTCCATACAGTTAAGACTCTTCCTTGTGCTTCAACATTTATTATCCAAAATATACATCTGGTAGGCAGCAATGTGCCTAAATTTCTTCTTTTTACTGTACATAGTCTTCATAAATAAATGTTTGAATCATCTGTAAACAATAGATCATTTAAAACATCTAGGAGAGGTGTTGCTTGTATAGGAGTCAAACTAAATCTTGGCCTCTGAAGGAAGGATGTTTAAAAGACAAAAGAAAAAAAGAAGGATAAAAGGCACAGGGGGAATGGTCAGGAAAAACCTGGATTACTGGCAAACTCTGAGATAAGTAAAGGCAACTTATATGGTTGTGTTTAAATGTATGCTCATATATTAAATAAAAACTTCAGTAGTGGTTAAAGGCTTATCTATTAGTGTCTGCTTACAAAACAGTGCAAAAAGCAAATATGTATACATATATCCTTACTTAGAGAGAAGTTGCCATAGAAAGCCAGAAATAAGTGGAGTGAAACACTGAATGTAGTAGCGGCTTTTCAATAAAGGTTGGACTCGAATGGTGGGTCTTAAGTAGTTTTAATATGTGTTTAAGTGAGAAAATCCACCTGAAAACGTAATCAGTGCAGTCAGTTCATTCAGATTATTATCCTGCCTTCCATATTTTTTCTGTCGGAGCCGCTCAGACCCCCACATACCAGCGGGGCGCCGACAGTATGGATCCCTTCATCAGCAGCGGTTCACCGCGGCAGCTGGTAGGTGGTTTTCATCTAAATAATCCAAACTGCATATTCTGCCGGCAGATTTCTGCATTTTAAGTTAATTTAGGCGTCAATAAACTGTTTAAAGGAATAGTACACCCAAAACATGATTAGCCTTCATTTTCTACTCACCTCCATGCTGAACAACACTCTGGAGTACTTTTTTGATATCTCAAATGCATCTGGAGATCTGGGAGGCTTCTTGCTGTCTGCTGACATTCAAATAATGGAGGTCCATGGCGCCCGAGACAGAAAGGTCCATAAAAGTCCACAAAAACGTGTCAATATTCCTCCATACTGCTCGTCCAATGTAATCCAAGTGTCCTGAGTGGGTAGCATCCAGAATTTACTCGAAACGAAGTCATTTAGAATGTTTTTAGAGCATAAACAGTAGTGTATAGGATTTCCTAATAGCGCCCCCATGCGCGCTCACGATTCTACGGAAGCCGGCAGACCAAACCGGAAGAAAGTGCGCATTCAGCGTCTGGTCTGCCGATAATGCAAGCGTAGAAGAAGAAATGTGCTGTTTACCTGTGCAAAGAAAGAAACAACGAAAGAAAAATGTCTGAGGACTTCAGTGTTGAGGAAGAGCATGAGTTCTTTGCCGAGCTGAATGCGCTGGTTTGGTCTGCCGGCTTCCGTAGAATCGTGAGCGCGCATGGGGGCGCTATTAGGAAATCCTATACACTACTGTTTATGCTCTAAAAACATTCTAAATGACTTCGTTTCGAGTAAATTCTGGATGCTACCCACTCAGGACACTTGGATTACATTGGACGAGCAGTATGGAGGAATATTGACACGTTTTTGTGGACTTTTATGGACCTTTCTGTCTCGGGCGCCATGGACCTCCATTATTTGAATGTCAGCAGACAGCAAGAAGCCTCCCAGATCTCCAGATGCATTTGAGATATCAAAAAAGTACTCCAGAGTGTTGTTCAGCATGGAGGTGAGTAGAAAATGAAGGCTAATCATGTTTTGGGTGTACTATTCCTTTAAGAGGAGAGATCATCAGCGCTGTGTCTCTCTCCCTGCGTTAAACGCAGCCAACGCGCTGCTTCAGCTGCTCAGACGTGCTGCGCCTGGTGCTCAAAACGCGCCGCGGGACCTTTTGCTGCGCCTTGACGCGCGTCAACCATTGACTTTGCATGTAAACTCGCTGCTTCTGTCGCGCCAGCTACGTCCAGTGTGAACGCAGCGTTAGTCATTCGCTGCTAAGCTCAAAACAACCGCGCCTGGCTTGACGGAGAAACCAGGAGAACAGCTGAGCATATTTACGACAGTGCACTTTTACTTTCGCCCTCTGGAGGGAGCCTCACTGGAAAATCAACACCGGTTGCATAGTGTACCTTTAATTTTCACTTACTGGTGGTGAGTCTGACAGTGGAAAAATTGCAAATCTTCTGTTTGGAAAGTAAGCTTGTATGAGTGATGCAAGCAGCAACTTTTAAACAGAGCGTGCACGAGGAGAAATGGGCTCATGCACGCTCTCGCACATGCAATAGGCGTTCCCTCTCGAGAGCAGGTACAGAGTTGTGCATGTGCATTTTTTTTTTAAAGGTAGAGAGGGCAGGTCTTTTAGAAAATTGTGAAAATCCTCCACTATACCTTTAAATTCCAGCTAGATAAAACCTGAATTGTTTTTAATTTTATAACTTAAAAAAATATTGGTATTTCAGAACCAGATGCATCAAAAACAACTACAGACATAAGTACTAAATATTAAAACAAGTTCTAGACCTCAATCACTTGATAAACAACAAGATTCGTTTTTTTAGCCAGATATTTATGACTAAAATGTAAAAAGGAAAGCAATTATGTTTTTTGTTTGATATGAGCTGAAATATATAAAGGGTTAAAAAATGTTCAGATCGACATAAGAACTTCGGTCGTAAGTTTTATTTTACACTGAAAATAATCAGGTAGTGTCTTTGTTGTATAAATCTTGTTTAATTAATGCTTAATTTAAAAAACTGCATGTTAAGAGTAACGAGGAAACATGTTAAAGGAAAAGGAATAGATGTGGATACTCCTGTGTTCTGTCAGAACCTCATTTACACTAATCAGAACCAACCTGGGCCTTTCTACCTGAGGTTTAATGATTACAACCTCAGCGTCTCATTTTTAATTACTCCTGTTTTTAAAATTAGCTTTCTGAACTTCATTCTCAGCATTTTAATTTTGTTTTAATGTCACTTTTCTTTAGTTTTTTTTTATACAAGTTTTTCAACAAATATTTAACTTACTTTCAAAATATTTCCCCTCTCTCTCACCATTTTTAGCTTGTCCTTCTTTTTTGCTTAATTTATTTTCTTCAAAGTGACTAACACTGAGGTAAAAAAAAAACTCCCTGCAAACATAGTGATCATTTCATTTTAAATGCCCCACCCTTTCATATAAAATCAGCAAACCTGTTTTCTTTACCTGTCAGGTGTAAAAAACAAACAAAACCCAACTCCTTTAGTAAGTCCGTGGATTCCGTATTATCAGATATAGAAAACAAAAACAAAAAACACCTAACTAGACTCAGACAGACGCTTCCTTTCAGAGTCCAGCAGCACTGATTCCTGGGAAGGAATCCACCTGAACTGTATCCTGGACGACCGAGCCAAGGCTGCTGTAGGAGACACGTATCCTCATCTTTAGATTTACCTGAAACATCAGCAACAATTTATTACACATTAATTCTTCATCTCTGATCACAGTAAACAGCTACATGGTTCCTAAAGAGCACTGGGGCAGTTCACCGCATCCTACCTCAGCTCAGCTATAAAATCTGACCACTCCTGTTTTAGTCAATTAGGAGCTTAATATTGAATTCCAAGTCAACAAGATAATGTTTTAGCCTTATAAGGTACTGATCGAAACAATTTAAGTTAAATGGAAGCTCGTCTGTACATGGATTACTTAACAACAAACTGCTTCATGTAGTGACATGGTGGGGAAATTAAAGAGAAATCAGCCCAGACATCAGAGGATGACATCTGATTACCCCTGAGTTCTAGATGTCTAATGGTGTCATGTTTATCTCTTCGGTTATCTGCAAGTATAACTGGCCTGGGAATGCCGGCTCCAATCACATCTGTCCATGGCGAGTACTGCATTATGCGAAATGACCAACAGAGATACAGTATGAACAGATTAAAACAACCCTTTTCTCTAAACAACAGGACAAAAAGCAGCATTTTCACTCTGATAAAAGTAATACAGGTTTTCCAACATATATTGCTGATAGCTTTTCTATTCTATGAACCCACCTTGTTCGGGTTGTTGAGGACCACCAGCTGGGTCAGTTTAGCTGCACCCTTCGCAGGAAGAGAGTCTCTGCTGGGGGCCTTCATTTGTAGCTGCACACTCTGGAGGAAAGAAAAGAACACTGTGAAGGGGAAGCTTTGCAGTAATCATGCTGTTTAGTTTGATTCTACTGTATACCAACAAGAAAATGATGGGCCCTGAAGGCCCCCCCACCAACAGGAGTGTAAAAGGACTGTAGCTTAATGATTATTCCGATGATTCGCTTCAGCCCTAAACCCATCAAACAGCCGGAGAAACCTCTCCTCAGCCACAGACACATAGAAGGATGCGTCTCACTAAACTTATTCCAAGCAAATGGTGTAGTTCTAGATATTGAGGGGAGAATGTCCACTAATAAATAAAACAAGGTTGTTTTGCCTTCATAAGTCTTTTTGGTAGTTGTTATTTTTTAGAGAGATAAAACAAAAACCTAAATAAAAAAGCCAGTATTTTATATCATAATCCTTTTTAAACATTATTTCATGAAATCATTGTCTCATGAATGATTTTACCCTGTCTCCCACCAGCGTTGTTGATCATCTTACTAAGACGTTTCTTTCCAATAACTTAAAACCTACTTTCCATCTAGTAATGTCTCTCACTCTATTGTGCGTTTAGCAGTGGGGGGGTTAGCGCAGGAAAATGTTTCTTACAGACCTTGGGTACTGCAGCTTGAAGGGTGAAGCTGCTGATGTCTGAGTCAGTGGAGTTGGAGGCGGTGAGCATGACCGTCAGGCCGGAGTCTGACTGCTGCTCACAGCTTATGGTCAGAGTCACACCATTTTTCTCATACACTGTCTTACCGGGAGCTGAGGAGAGCAGAGAGCATTCAAAACATGCTACAAGCAGACATAGGTTTATATTTAAGAATTACATCCATTCTGAGAAACAGTCAAATAGGTTTTGTCTAAAAGGGACGACAGTCTGCATCCGAAGGACTGACCTGGTGTCAGAGGAGTGGGCTCCAATCCACCCAACAAATCCAGGAGGTCCCCTCCAGCACTGCCGGTGGCAGTGATGGGCTGAGCTGATGATGTGATACTTATCAACGAGCTGGGCGCCAAAGGCTCCTGAGAACCACCCAGCAAGTCCAAGAGGTCAACCACCTGGCAATAAAACACAATAAAGAGCATAGAGCTAAGAAAATACATATCTGATGTGTCCTCAGTAAAAATAGATCAAAACCAGCCGGACGGTACAGTTGGAGGAGGAACATAAATAACAGAATCTACGTCCAAACAAAAGAAACTCTTTTTTTTTTTCTTTTTTTTTTTATGGAGCTGAAAACATTTTATACTGATGAGAGAATTTAAAACAGAATAATAAAATTTTTTGCATGTTTTCTCTGCGTCTGTAAATCTTTTGCTCATTTGGCTTTCTTATAGAAACACATATCAGAAAACGAAACAACGTTGAAATACAGAAAGTGAAATTAAAATACAAAGCTTTTTTATTTTTCTGTCGAAAAGGGATAAGCAAAACTTTCCAACTAATTTGAAGGGGGTTTTACTTTGGTTTCTGTTTTAGATTCATTTTTATTTTATTTTATTTCTTGTATCTGAAATGCAAAATGAAAGTTTAATTGTTTTCAAAAATTCAATCACCTGTTTTTGATACAGGAAAAGTTAAACCTTTGCATTTTTACTTAAACTTTGTTTTAAAAAAAAAAGCAAAAATCCAATAGCCCATATTTTGTTTGTTTGTTTTCTATTTTTCTTTTTTGAAGCAACATTAAATGATCAAAACATAGCCTGACCGCTCTATTATAAAACCTCCTGTTGACAATCAAAATAAAAAACCGTAACAGAACAAATAAAATTAGGAAGAAGTCTAAACGTCTAATACTTGGCCAGCTGGTTGCTGTGGCTGAGCCGCCTCTTCCTGTTTGACTTTGCCAGGTTGCGTCTCCTTAATGGTTTCCTCGCTAACTTCCCCGTTGGTCTGACCCAGAGAGTTTTTCTGGATCACAGGCATTCTCTCCAGCACAGCTGCTCTGTGGGGAAAAAAGCATTAAAACTCAGTCAAATTTAACAACATAGTATTTATGGTTAATCAGTAAATTGTAGAAGTGAAACATTGAAGACTTAATTAAACACAATTGAAGTAGCATTTCCCAAGTTAAAAAACCAGAGATATTTGCTGGATAGCCTTGCTGATTTCTAGTAGCCACCCAAACTACTAATCCATCCCTCTGTATTTTGTTCTATATAAAAGGTAAAGCAAAGTCTGCTGAGTATCTCAAGATAAACAAAAGTCATGTATTGAAATCACTAAATAATCCAATTAAATTTCTTCTATAATTCAAACTTCTTAAGAGGTTACAAAAGAAGTGCAATAGTGAGATAAGTTTTTTTTTTCATCTTTGCTCTTTAAAAAGGAACATTTTAAGTCAAAGGAATGTTGTCTTTTCAGTTTAATTCTCAGTTAAACAGATAATTAGCTGCTCACCTTTTTATTAGTAAAATAATGCTGCATTTAGTACAGTTTTGTGCCTGTAAATGGAAAAGTTATTTACATTCAATACAAAATTTAAATGTGGTACAAAATCTTAAAATTAACAACATGCAGAGCTGTATCAAAAGAAAAAGACACAGGGTATAGGAGTGGAGACAGCGTAGGCTGGGAGTCGACATGCTGGAGGTCATTTCTCTTTTATTTGGTCCAAACAAACAGGAATGCACGCTTTGTTTTAAGTGTAGCTTCTGTGATTGATTACAGCGAAAATCAATAAGCACATAACTCTTGGTCTTGAATATTTTTTCAAGTTAATACTATTTTAGTAACAGATCAAAACTGATGAATTAAGTCAAATAATCAGGTCATCAGCAGGTCTCTGGAGAGCCCGACTGCACACTGAGGAGTTAATGAAGCAATTTGATTCAATTTTAATGTGTGGAAGAAAAGACACATCTAAAAGGTGCAGGATCACCCTCCTTTAGAGGAATAGAGGAACCACAGACAGCGTGGGTATACGCTATCATACTGGGTCATTAAAAACATGTTAAATTTCTCTGATTTAGGATCAGAGCGGCCCTAGTTTTCTCATCAATAATCTGACCCTATTGAAGGGGGAAACTCAGGGCAGAAATCGGCCCAAATATCTTGAATGAACATTTAGAAGAAATAATGTGTAGCCTGCTTGCTGCACATTATTTCAGGTCAGAATTCCCTAATTTTTCTGACTCATATTTCCATTGGTTTGGGGTACGCTGGCGAAGATTCTCAGTTATCCAGCTCATAGCGGTTTCAAAAAAGTAAAAAATACAAAAAAATCAACTGGACTTTGCTTCCAAGTTTGAAGACGTTGTCAGAATTAGGGTTGAGTTGAACTCAGGTTTAGTTGGGCAGAGTCATTACGGGCATTTTTTTTCTTCTTTTTTTTTTACTTTTTTGAAACATTGTTTAGGGTTTTTTTTGTACCTTACTGTGTACTTCAATTAAAAATGCAAAAATAAACCATGAATCGACAATTTTTCAACAGTGATTAAACTTTTATTATTATTTATAATTAGAATATTCATAATCGGCAAAAAAAAAGCAGTGATTGAATAGATATAAAATAAATGTCATATTTATCCAGAAGGCTTAAAAAGCCAGAATAAAGTCCAAACCTTAGAAAACCTCATGTGAGGTAAAGTAAGCTAGTTGTTCAACATAACAAATACATAAGAAAGAAAAACATGATGCTTATCTCTCCCAGACAGAGGTGGGCAGTAGCTAGTTACATTTACTAAAGTAATTCTTAGAAAAAAAATGTTTTTTTAGTTTTACTTTACTGTATTTTTTACTTTTACTAAAGCAATAATCGTATGAAGTTACATGAGTAACATTTCTGCTCAATCTACAGCCCATTAGTTAAAGTTGCCTATGCCTTCCTGACATATATGCAGTATTGTAAAGATTTGAAACCATGTTTTTTTTCTGCAATAAATTTGTGACTTTGGAATCATTATCTATTTACTTACCGTAATTTTCGGACTATAAGCCGCAACCTTTTCCCCATTTTTCGACCTTGCGGCTTATATAACAATGCGGCTTATCTATAGACTTTTACAGCTAACGGCCACTAGGGTAATACCTAAATCTATGGATTTTACCATCCACCATGTTGACATCACATTTACTTCAACACACAAGTACGGCAGCCACGCGCACGGGAATGCGGAGGTCCTCCGGAAGCAGACTTCTACCGCGAGTGGTACGAGACGGAACGACAGCGAGAAAGATGGACATTGCGAGCGTAAGACAGTTTGTGTTAAACATAAAAAAACCTGTGTCTTATAGTCCGGTGCGGCTTGTATATGTACAAATCATGCAATTTAGCTTATGCGGCTTATATATTCAGGTGCAGCTAATAGTACGAAAATTACGGTATATTTATTGAATAGCTTGAAATACCAGACTTTGACATAACTGGATGAGTTTATCATTTAAATATGAAAGCAGCATTAAATACTTGACTAGCCGTCTTTACAGATTATTTTTTACTATTACATGAGTCATTTCTTGGATGAATACTTTTTCACTCCTACTTAGTGCAAAATGTTTGGTTACTTTTACCCACCTCTGCTCCCATCCTACCTCATGTGGTCGTATTTTTTGAAGAGTGCGTTGTATTCAACCGCCCTCTGCTGGAGCTCCACATCTATGCAGCTGCCGTAGATGCTGACGATGCTTCGGATGCGGCTGCAGGAGGACAGCGGCAGTCATGGGGGAGAAAGAGCAGAGCTATTGTTTAGGCAGATGTTGAGTTAATCTGGGCTGATGGTGGACTCCGTATGATTCTGCTGCACTCTGCAACGCTAGTGACAAAAAAAGGTTGTTGTCTTACTCCACATTATCTGTGATGCGTGTGCTCAGTTTCATGGTGGCGGTGAGCGCGAAGCCGCGGGTCGTAGGAGTGGACATGTGTGACTGTAAAACTATCTCTAAAGCATCCAGGACGTCATCCTCTGTGGCCTGAGGAAGAGGCAAATAAGAAACAACTTAATAAGAACTGTTCTGTAACATATTACAAAACATATAATTTTAGTTAAGTTTTAAAGCAAATAAAAAAAGGATATTTCAATATTGTTTTCCTTTTAATTCTTTGGAAGTTAATCACATTTTAATCTATGGATAATTGGAAAAATAAACATTGTTTCTATGACAGCAATTAGCGTTTTTCTGATTAAAGATTTACGTCTGGTGATATCATGATTCCATCATCTGCAATACTTTACCTGCACAGCTTCTGTCTCCTGACACTCTCCTTTCAGCAGCAGGTCTCCATACTCTCCTATACACCAGCAGGCCACCTGCACCAGAGGTTGCTGTGCACACAAATGTTCTTATAAGAATTTTATAGGAACCACAGAAGGAAAACAGCTTGAAGCAAAAATCCTCCCAAATTTCACAGACAGTTATCGTGTTAGAAGCTGATCAACTCTGCCGATCCACACATGGCAGCACACCTCACTGCTTTTCAAACACCAATCTGTTTCCATCTAACAGTTTAGGACTCAGACCTAAAGTTAAGCTGGAATAATATAATCTGACCTACAGACCTGAGAGATGTCGGTGAGCAGCGCCCGGTAGAGCTTGTGGACGGTGTAACAGTGCAGCTCTGAGGTGTTGGTGATGAGCTGAATCAGGTTAGGCACAGTTTCATCTCTGACATCGCCCCCTGCCTGTATGGGTAGAAATTACACAAATCCGTTCAAACAGAAAATGCGCTGGATCGTTTTAGCTTAGAGGCTGGTCCAGCATTCATCAGACATCCTTCTTCCAGACATATTGTCAATAATATTCCCTTCATAAGAAAGGTTCAAAAGAAATCTTGCAAATGACCCTTAGTTACAACTGATATAGAGAAAAAAATATAAAAATATGAAGAAAAAAAAAAGAAATATGACTCAAAAGGCTATGCCTGTCCCCAGAATATGTAACAATCATAGTGGAACACAGGAGTGGGGGCATCATGCTGTGTGAGTACCTCTCTTCTGCAGGACTAGAGAATGCAGATAAATGCATGGAAAAAGGCTGAGCCTGAGGGACCAGCAGAGCTTTTGATACGTCCTGTAAAATCCTACTGATTCACTGAAGTTTGTAGTGGTTAGACAACAAGGCTCTGTAAGTGTTACTACATCCAGTCCTCCAACAGAACTAGAAGGAGGAAACTTGATGAGAGGCAGCAGGGTAGGTGTGCACTTACCGTGGTGAGAACATGCAGGATGGTGTCAATGTGCCAACGTTTGGAGGGTGCATACCTGACAGAAACACACACAGCAGGCTGAGCAGTGGCGAGACAAGCACTGAATCTGTCTCTGCTTTGTTGATGCGTTAATAAGTGCTGTGCAGTAAAGACACAGAAGGCTTTCACTGTCACAGAGTCTGTCTGACAGTACTGTCACTGAGCGAGCCGTTGGGATCAGTAAACTGTAAAGCACAATAACCGGCCCACTTTTGCTCCAAACCCCACCCCTAAAAACATGTTTAATTTATCTGCATGTATGATGTAAAGTATCTGTGCTGGCATACGTTCAATATGGCAGCAATAAATGAGTCATTACAGAGCTTATTTTATAGACGAACTGGAATCTACCAAAGATTCTTTGAAAATGGCCGCCTACCTTTCGGCGGCGTTAAATATGCCGCTGGCAGCTTGAGCCCTGAGATCTGGAGGGCAGGAGGAGAGGAAGATGAGCAGTTCCTTCATCATAGAACGGATGTTGGAGGCTGACACCAAAGCCAAGGATAGCTCCAAAGCCCGCCTACATGGATGGGAGCGGAGGATCAAAGGTGCTAATTAATCCAGCCCTCACTGACATTAAAAGAAACATCTTTAAATATTCATTTCTGAGGTTCATCTCTTAATGTGATGATTGAGGGACACTTTGAAGGTTTATATGTTCATTCAATGAAGGCTGATTAAAATAAAATAAAAACTTTGGGTACTAATGCACAACCTTTCCCGTTAACAATAAAAAAAACTGTATTTTTTTGCTCCAGCCAAGTGGCCTAACAGCCTTTATACTACCAGAATGTAAAAAGTTTCCTATTGTATGAATATGTATGTGACAAACTCATTGTATGTACATAGTTTTGTTCTTAATGTATGTTGTTCCCCTCTTCCCTGAAAAAAAAAAAAAAAAGAAACAATAAAATACAAATGAAAATGGATGGCAATGACAAAACAGGTACCATATTTTCACGACCATAAGGCGCACCGTACTAAAAGGCGCAGTCTCAGTTATGTGTGCCATTACTGTATTTAACACACACATAAGGCGCACCGGACTATAGGGCGCAGGTGTTATTTACCGGTACATGTCCTCTACTATGTTTAAATACCTCTACTGCGTATTTAAAAATATAGTGGGAGCAAAACTGAGTATGACTGTGCTTTATATATGTATTTATTACAAAGTATTCACCAAACCCATCAAAGTCATTATCCTCTGTTTCTGAATTAAACAGCTGCGCTAAATCAGACATGCCAATTTCCCCTTCTTCGCTGTCAGAGTCAATTTCTGTGCAGCGCGGCTCCTCAGAAATAATGCCGGCTTTTGTGAAAGCTCGAACAACAGAGCCAGCAGACACGTTTGTCTACAATCCATCCGCAAACTGTGGCGAAACTTGCCCGGCGCTGCCTCCCACTTTTCGTGAAACTGTGGTCTCCGTTGGTCATCCATCGCTTCCACGCCGCTCGCAGCCTTACTTTGAACGGCCGCTTCACACCGATGTCGAGCGGTTGAAGTTCCTTTGTCAGACCTCCCGGGATAACAGCGAGCACAGCGTTCATTTGTTTCACCTTTTTTTTCACATCGGCTGTGAGATGGGCACGCATGGAGTCACAGATTAACAGCGATGGTGATGAGTGGAAAAAACCACCTTACATACACCTGCCTCAGCCACTCTTTCATCATCTCCTCATCCATCCAGCCCTTTTCATTTGCCTTAATAACGACTCCAGCTGGAAAAGTCTCTTTAGGCCCGCGGTTCTCAAAGTGTGTGGCGCGACCCACTGGTGGGGAATTGAGACGTGACAGGTGGGGCGCGCCAAGTTCCGGTGTGTGTGTGTGTGTTGTGTGACTATAAATGTAGAACTTGTGAGAGCAAACTGTCCTTATAGCTGTATGTTGCCGCTTTTTAGACCAATCAAACCCACAAAGTAATCATTACTAGCCTACATGCAGTCTAATTAAAAGAACATTAGATATGAGAAAAATTTCACCTGGAACTGAAGTGCCAAAATAATGACTGACGTGACGTCGGCATATTATTTGTAACGGAATAAACTTTCGCGCCCCAGTGTTGCCAACTCAGCGACTTTGTCGCTATATTTCAGACCCCTCCAGCGACTCTTTTTCAAAAAAGCGAGTAGCGACAAATCTAGCGACTTTTGGAGACTCTTACGTACGACGGAGTATTAGGGCCACACATGAAGAGAAAAAACATTTTTGCCATGACGAGATTAAACTCGACATGTCGACTTTAAAGTCGACATGTCGACATTAAACTCAACATTTTGAGAATAAAGTTGAAATGTCATGTTGAGTTTAATCTCGACTTGTCGACTTTAAACTCGCCATTTCGAGAATAAAGTTGATATATCGTGGCGACTTTAATCTCGACATTCCAAAGTTTGGAGAAAAGAGCAACCGCGCTCCACAGCTGCAGTCTGCGTTTTAAGAGTGAAGGTAGTCTTTGACGTGCTGCAACTGTATAGGATTCTGTGCATGTAACCTGTGCAGCGGTTGGCTCTCTTGAACTAATTTAAACTTTATTGTCGACACGTCGAGATTAAACTCAACATGACATTTGAACTTTATTCTCGAAATGGCGAGTTTAAAGTCGACAGGGCGAGATTAAACTCAACATGACATTTCAACTTTATTCTCGAAATGTTGAGTTTAATGTCGACATGGCAAAAATATTTTTTCTCTTCATGTGTGGCCCTTATACTCCGTCGTACTTACGGGAAAGCACGTATTGTTCCTTTTCTTGTCCTCCAGCGGCAGGTGCTGCCGTGGGGCGCCTCCTCCCTCCCAACCCCGTTCTCCCCCGCTATCGCAGGAGTCCCTCTCAGCGCTGCAGTAAGGGACACAGCATGTTTACCCTCAGCGTCCAGACTGCAAATAAAGCGCACATGCGCCGGGATTGACGGTGTAGGTTGATCATAAATAACTGAATTTGAAATATTTTATCTTAAATGAATAACGGCGTTTGATTCACACAGCCACATGTTCATGTTTCTGGTTTGGAGTGGAGAGGGAGTATCCACTCATCGGGCAGAGAGCTGTGTGCATTCTTCTTCCCTTTGCCACATCATATCTCTGTGAGATGGGCTTTTCAGCTGTTGCTTCACTGAAAACAAAGCATGACTTGAGAGTGGCAGTATCAAGCCTGCAACCCCGTTTTGAGAAACTGTGCAATGCAAAACAGGCTCATTGCAGCCACTAATGCAGGGATAAATAGACCTGTCTTGCCAGATGGATTTCACTTCTTTTCTTTTATTAACAGATTGCAGAGTGGCAGTTTAATTTTTTCTATCTTTGAGCTTGATACAAATTTTGACACAGCTGCATTTTTATTTTCTTTATTTTTGAGCTTGCTGTTATTTGATGTAGATAGTTTGTATTTAGATACTACTTGTTACTTCAATAAAATTGGAACATTTTAAGATTGTTTCATATTTCATTAGCATTGTGTTGGGGCGATGGGGACAGGCGGGGCTTGAAAATTCCCCCTTGTCCAAAGTGGGGAATGACAGAAAAAGTTTGAGAACCACTGCTTTAGGCAAAGTCTTTCTCTTAAATATCTTTCAAATCCACGCCCACACTTCCCCCTTTAACGTTCTCATGGCGGTCTCAACAACATCCGCAATAACAACACAAATAGGGCGCAACGCACAATAGGGCGCGCCGCACATTTTGAGGGGAAAAAAAGACGTTTATATGCGCCTTATAGTCGCGAAAATACGGTACCAAAATAAGAAGCTTAATTATATCGAGCAGAGCGGCAAAATCACAGGCGGCCTGTGCCTGACTTTACTGATGGTTGTACTGAAAGACATTTCTGTTGACCAATTTCATATTCAATAAAAAAAAAAACCATAAACATGATTAATACTTGATTAATAAGACTTTTCCATCTAAAGAGAATTTCTGTCTTTCCAGAGAAACTTTTGCCCCCACAAAATGACAAAAAAAAAAAACAATATGCATAAACAGCTTCTGCAGGGGGATTATAATTGTGACATTTAAAAAAATCTTGTTTACAGATGTTTTCTCTGTGATTATCTCCTTTATTTAGTCAAACTGCATCTTATTAATCTGTTTTCCTTCTTGCTGTATATTTAACTTCCTCGGCTGCTTGTTTTTATGTTATAAAGCATCCTGTTCATCTTTAGTTTTAAATATGCTGAAGAAATGCAACTCGAAGTACACATTTACATTTGAGTAGCATGTGCATAAATTCCCCAGCAGTGATGCATGGGCATCTTTCAGATGTACAGCTTTCATTATTTTTTGTATCATGAGCAAAACAAATGATCTGTGACATTCCAGCCTGAGCTAAAGATTAAATTTTACATAAAACAGTATCAGAAAGTTTGACCAGAAATTAAACCTTAGAGATAATTTATTTAAAACTGCATTATTTCCTATCCTGTCGACAAGGTATAACCTAGTTATGCTAAATCTGATCTAACACATACCTTGTACATTATTAGAGATTAGACTGTGGTAAAGCCAGATTTCTTCATGCATATAATCAAACTGGATGATCAAAACAACTAAACATGGATTTATTGCCCATAAAAATCCCATATCTACATCTCAGACTGACGCAAGATGCAAGATCTGCTTTAACAGCTTATCCTTTTCTTTTTTTCTTTTATTTCTTTTAGGATACACTTGTGTGTACAAAATGACAAATTAAAATCTGTCTAAGTCTAAGTCTTATCCACCCAAATCACAAAGGAGTTAAAGCTTACCGCTTAACTGAGGCATCCTGGTCCTTCAAGCAGTCGACTATAGTCCCACGGTGCCGCTGAACTGCATTATGGTCCGTCCCGACGATCTTCTGAAGAGATGTCATGGCGATGTATCTGCATATGCATAAATGTGGCAAGTCGAACATTACATTTTAAAGCAGGCTCTGATGAAACCTGAGCTCTACGGCAGTGACATTACTTATAGCAGTTCTAACATCGCAATGAGTAATCAAGTTTGGAAAGATACCATCCAGTGAGGCTGGTTTAACAGGGGAATAAAACAATCCCATCCCTGTCATCCAATCACAGAGACAATCAGTGGTTCTGCAGGAGCAAACTAGACTGACCTGTTCTACCACAAGGCTTATGTGGAAAACACTAACAAAGCCTCTAGGAGCTGATACACGGTGACCACATGTAATCTAAGAGCTACTGTGGATCTTAAGCATGTGCTCAAAAGGGAAGTATTTATTCAATTTAGATGATAACAGCCTGTTGGGGAGGAGAAGAGTCAGCATGAACTTTTGAAACAGAATGCAAATGGATCCAGTGAGATCAGAGAAAATCAGTGGTGAGAGGAGTTAACTGACCGAATATTCCTGTCGTTATTCAGTAGAAATCTTCCCAGGATGTTGACCGCTAAAACCTATAGAGGAGCAAAGGGAAGCACATGAGCGGCAGGTCATTAAGTAAATCATTCCTGATGTAATAATAGAGTGAAAAGGTGAGCGCGTCTCACTCTGAGGCCGCTCTCTGACTTGATGTCTAAAACGGTGAGAACAGTCTCGTAGAGCACGGCGTTACCCACAGTCTTGGTGCTGTCTGTGTTGGTCGCTACCTATTAGACACAAATCACACATCACTCAGCTAGCTGTGACACACTGCAAAAACGATCTAGTCAAAATGTCTTAAATTAAGATGATTTATCTTTAATTTGAGTAGGCTGATAAGATGATTTGCCAATGGAATGGAGATTTTTATTCTTAAAATAAGGTAATTAGATAATATACACTCGAAATAAGACAATTAAATTGTTTTTTTCTTATTTTAAATGTAAATTGTCTTGTTCCATTGGCAAAGTTTCTCACTTACCTCCTCAATTCAAGAAAAAAATGCTCCTATTTTAAGAAAAAATGACTGAAATTTTGGAAATAATAATAATAAAATAAAATACATTTAGCAATAGAAAACAGAAACAATTCAGTCTGAAACAGACGAGGAAAACGTCCAAAACAAAATATCTCTCATGATTTCAGTGATGGTGCTTGGTTGGAAACATAAAGAAAAACTAAACCTGAGCTAGGAGGTCATTCATGGCGTCACTCGCTGCTTCGTTGTTCCGACCGAGGATTCTCAGCAACCTCAGGATGCGTACCTGAGCGAAGAGATGGGAGAGCAGGAACACTGACTCAGAGGTGACCAAACGGAGAGGCAGTTAACCTGTATTCATGTAGCTATTGAAAAGTTGTGCATAGTTGTGAAAAGAAAAGGAAATAGTCAACCCCTTTTATTCTGATACCCCTAAATAAAATATTGTGCCACCAAGTGCCGTAGGAGTCATCTCAATGTGAAACCATGTTTAATTTATTAAGTTAAATCTGGCTGTTCCATCAAGCCCTTAGAGCAGGAGTGGGCAACTCCAGTCCTTAAGGGCCGGTTTCCTGCAACATTTAGATTCCTCATTGGTCCAACACACCTGAATCAAATGGTGTAATTACCTCCCCAGTGTGCAATCAGTTTATCCAGAGTCCTATTAATTATCTATTTACTCAAATCAGGTGTGTTAAGTCAAGGACATGTCTAAAAGTTCCAGAATACAGGCCCTGCAGGACAGGAGCTGCCCACCCCTGCCTTAGAGATTTGTTAGGAGGCTTCTGTGCACCAGCAGATCAGAGCAGGGTCAGATTATACAACTTCAGAAAACCAGTGGTTCACTGTTGCATCCATGGGGTTTATTGGGGGGCGAAAAACAATGCAGGCAGCTATGGGCACATGCAGACCCCATGCAGAAAGATCCAGTCACATAAAACCCATTAAATCCGACTGAAGTTTGGGATTGAAATGATGAAATGTGAAAAGGTTAGGGGGTTATGAAGAGGTTTGCTCAAACATTTAACCTTCAAATGTTGACAAGAGATTTATAAAGCATGACAGACGCCAAGCTGGGTTTATGCTTATTTTCAATGCTATTTTCATATAATATGCGGTGACATTAAAACGGATAACTGGCCTGAAAATCTTTTTTTCTACAAAAAGATAAAAATACAATAACTTAGATTTATAAGAGACAGATAAACAAGCTTGTTTTAAGAGTGAATTTTTTGCAATTCTCCAACTTTGAATAGTAATTCAACAAACATCCTTAACCTCTTAATATCCACCTAATTTCTGGGAAATTCACCTATTTTGCATACTCAAATGGAAAAGCAAATAACTGAGGAACTGTAAGCCCAATTTACATGTGTGATACCTTATTTGAAAGCTAACACCTTCTAGTTTCTGAATATATACATAAAAATTGGGTGAGTAAAACACCCAAGCTGCATCAGTTCAAACATGACTCAAAGTTGTTGTTTTTTATTCTCGAAAATCATAAGTCTTTTTTGAAAAGCAGTAATAAAGACATGCTTGCTTGTTGTGGCTGCTTTGTCATGTTTACATTTTGACATGCTGCTATATCTGTGTTAATTGTGCTTTGGTGCTCGCTATGTCCATGCAATTAACTGGTGGAGAATTTAAGCTTTCCAACGATGTCTAACATGTTTATATTGGTAAACATTTTACCAGAGTTATTATTTGTAAACGCTTTAAAACGGGTCGGTGGGTTTTGAAAGGTCAAATAAAATCCCCTTGCTGCACGGACACTTGTTGTGGGTACCCTTTCTCTCAGATTTAGTGTTTTTATCTGTCTTGACACCTTTTTTGCAGTGCAAGCTTCCATTAAAAAGTATAAATCTGAAAATAAAAGACTGACCTGTAGGAATGGATCGCTGACACCTGCAACATCGTGATCCGGGGAATAACCTGAAATCACCAGGCCTTTCATGATCTGGACTAGATCTGGCACCGTCTGAAAAGCAGAATACACATTAATGTCACAGCACACATACAAGCCATCAGGTTGAGGCTCAGTTTGTAATTTAAAATCAGAATTGACATTTAAAATCCCATTTCTGTATTAGAAATGTTTTTTTTTTCTCTGTTAGCAAAATAAATCCCCAGGGAAAAAAGCTTAAAAAACACCAGTAAATAATCTATAACATGTGTTTCACTGAATTATTTGATGCTGAAATAAATAAACTATACTAATCTATTGGATAAACCACACTACTCCATCAGATCAGGAAACTTCTCACCTTCCTGAAGCGCTCCAGTGTTTCTGGGCTCCGCCCACAGAGCTCAGTGATGAGCACAACAGCTCCATGTAACACACCTGCAGGCAAAAGATAAAAAAAAAAACAATAAAACATGACGGTGATTGGAGCAACTATTAGGAGACGGTGATGAAACCTACTGACCATGGTTCTTCTCAGAGAGGAGGGAGCGAGCAGAGGGGACAAAGAGCTCTCCCAGATCCCGGACCTTCCTCACAATGTGAACGGCGCACAAAGCAGCCTAGAGGAGCAGTAAAACAACAGAATAACCATCAGTAAATCACACATTCCCATCACATGATAAATGTGTGCATTGTTCATGTCCCAGAGCACTGTTTAGAGTGCAGTGACTGATAGATAATACATTTCAATTGTTCTGAATTTGCATTTTTCATGCAAAGACCAGTAGCATTATAAGCTTATAGCTTCTGCAAATACACTGGGGCTGAAACAATTAATCGGCTTAATCGGTTATTTACATAATCACCAACTAATTTAGTAATCAATTAATAATAAAATTGAGTATAGAGACTGTAAAAAAAATACCTTTAGGTGACAGAGCAACCCACTTAGAGCAACAATTATATAAAAATTGTAAATAAATTTATAAAAATTTTGCATTCAAGATATCAATATTAAGTATTAAGTATATATGTCAATATGCTCTATCCAGAACTCCTCAAGTAGAAAAGTTTTACTTTCACCGGGTTTAACTCAGTAAAAAGCTTTCTTTAAGGAAACTTTTGCTATCAGATTATTAATCGATTCATCTAAAAAATTATTGACAAATTACTTTATTTGCAAAATAATCGTTAGTTGCAGCCCTACAATATACCCTTTCCATAATGTAGAAAGAAAGAAAGAAAGAAAGAAAGAAAGAAAGAAAGAAAGAAAGAAAGAAAGAAAGAAAGAAAGAAAGAAAGAAAGAAAGAAAGAAAGAAAGAATTAGATAGCTAACTTGCTTTTTTTTTTTTTTTTACAGAGAATGCAGTAAATGTTTCACTAGGGCTGCAACCAACGATAATTTTGCAAATCGATCAATCTGTTTATTATTTTTTTCGATGAATCGATTAATAATCTGATAGCCAAAGGTTCATTTAAGGACATTTTTATGAACTTAAACCAGGTGAAACTAAAAAAGAGCATATTGACAGAGGAAAACGTTTTTTTTTTTTTCTTAGATGCAACATTTTTATATATTTTGTACAATATTGTTACAATTGCTGCCTTCAGCTAAAGGTATATTTAACAGTCTCTGTACTCAATTTAACGATTAATTGACTAAATTAGTTGAAAATTATTTCAATAATCGATTAATCATGATTAATTTGATTAATTGCTTCAGCCCCAATTACCTTTAAACTATCGTTCAAAGTAAAACACAAAACACTCTCTCTACCAAACATGTTTCCCTCATTATTGCAGTGTTTTTTCCAACATTGCTGAACCAAACTATGTGGAATGATCACTTTTAAATATTCACAATAGAAGCACCCAAAAAAAAACAACAAAAAGATAAACACACATCCAAGGAAACTGGATATAAAACCATACACCTATGTGTGTTTTTACCTTTTTCTTTATGTAAGAGTTGGAGGATCGCAGCAACCTGTCGATCTCTGGGGCCAGATCCCTGCACATCTCTGCTGATCCCATGCAGGCCAGTGTGCACAGAGCCAGAGACTGCACATACTGGTTGCTATGAGACAAGTCACTAAACAACAAAAAAGACGGATCACAAGACAGAACTGAGCTTATTTCAAAATAAAAACATATTTTTACTATACTCATGTCTTATCATGAAACTTTTCTAATAAGTTATTTATTTTTCCCTCTGTCATTTTTCTTAAAAACATTTTCAAACATAAAAACATTAATCTTAAAAAAAAAAAAAGAAGAGTTCATTCAAATGTTGTTTTAAATAACAGAGAAAAACCGGCCAAACTAAGCAGCTCTCTTGTTAAATCATTTACTGTTGTCAACCACATTTTTGGGTTTACTCTCATTAGCTACAGCCGGGCAGAAAAATAATGTTTTACAATAAGAAGTCTGTTAATCAGTGAGGCATGGGGAAACCTTTACAAAGTGAACATTTTAGAAACAAAAACATCAAATATGTTATTTGTAGTGCGTTGGTCTGAAGCTGCTTTTTTAAACCTCTTGTTCAAAATAAGCCAGGAACCCAACAACTTGGTTCCTGAAAATAAAAACTGAGGTTGTTTGGAGGGACCTAGTCAAAGTCAGGACTTTATTTACAATTGAGATACTGTAGTTTTACAATAAAGAGGCCATTGATGATAATAAAAAAAAATTACTGAAAGATTAAATTATTATTATGATGAAATTTTGTTCAGTAGAGCTCACAAGACATTTCTATTTTTAAAGTGCAGCAGTGATAAAATGCAAACATAAGACTGGTATATGATTTAAAGTTCCAACATTCAGCGATTTTTTTTTTTTATCCCATTTTATGCAGCATTTAGCAGTCTGCCTGGTTTGTAACGTTTTGAACGGCATATTCCGTGAAATTGTTGAGAGCTGTTCTTGGCCGCCGCCATGATGTGGCGCCATGATGTCTTGAATTTTGTTTGATGGAAGTCATTACTGCCAAGGGCAGATGATGTTAGTAGCTAGTTATGTTTACTGAGTTACATTTATTTGAGTAACTTAGAAAAATGCTTTAAGGGGGATTTTTATTCCATTGTACTAATTACTTTCACCTGAATAAAAATATGATGAAATAACTTACCCCATTTTAAACTTTACGCCATAAAATGAAGTGACTATTGATTTCACTTTTATAATAAACAATACATTATATATCGGAATATATTTTAAGTATTCCACTTGAGATGAAGAAGCGACCCACTCACCACAGCCAGGAATACGAGGGGTGGATGGGAGCTATTTTTGAAATATTCTTTGAAAAAAACAGCATTTGCACTTATTAAAAAGCATTTACATAAAAAAGAATATATATTTTTTGCAACTTTACTTTTTTTTTTTAGAATATCAAATCAGTTTTGATGTGTAGTTGTTAGCAGATCAGTTATTCAGTACCAGAGTAGGCTTTTTTTTAACCCAAAAACTATTTAACTCTTTTTTTCCAGTCATTTCTTGGAGGACTACTCCTTAGAAAGCTTGAAACTAGGGATGCATGATATAATCGGCCCCCTATCGGTATCGGCCTGTATCGGCCTTAAAACTGAATATCGGACATCGGCCACCCCACCAATATTTAACCCGATATTTGATCAGCTTCTGAGTTTCTAAAGTCTAAAAAAAAATATATATATATACTACTACTTCTTCCTCAAAAACTTCTTTTTTACAGACTTAAAAACTTCTAAAGACGAGGAAAAAAATATTGATACATTAAAATATCACAATATCTTCATATGCTGATATATTGCCATTTAAAAACACCATATCAATCTCTTTTACTAATGAAATATTGCTATATGTCATCGTTATCATCACAAAATTTTGCCATATTTTTATATGTTGATACATTGACGCGGTATCGATCTATTTTCCTAACAAAATCTCATAAGAATTTGCAAAATATCACGAGAGTTTGTAACAGAACAATGAAATTTCACGAGATTTTGAAAGTAAAATAGATCGATACCACGTTTTTAAAAATCTATTTGATATCAGCATATGAAAATATATTTGAGTATATTATTTTTCAAAGTGTCAGAAACGGAAAACAAAACTGCTATTTTCAATGACTACTTATTTTTGTCCAGCTTTAACATCGGTATCGATATCGGTTATCGGCTAGATGAGTTTTAAAATATCGGCATATCGGATATCGGCCAAAATCCCAATATCGTGCATACCTACTTGAAACTGCATATTTTATTTACTTGTCTTACTTTTGATGTGAAAATTACTTTTAAAAATATCTGAAACATTAAGGTGCGATAAAAAGGCCAAAATAAAAATATATAAAAAGGCAGCACTGCCTGTGATTACATTTCTAGTATGAAAAACACAATTACAACATTTAGCAATAAACAGAGGAAACAAAGCTGCACTAATGTCAACATTTGCTGTATTTATAAGCTGTTAAGGCTCACTTCTTTTACATAAACCCAGATTGTCATATAAATAGTCAGTACCAACTGTCCTTACTTCTTAATGGAGTTTGTGATGAGCAGGCTCGCATCCTGCTTCTCGTCCAGGAGCATCATCGCTCCCAGGTATCCTACACGCTTCTCGCTGTAGCGCGGGCTGGCGATCATCCGAACACACTCCATCTACAAATGAAAAGCAACAGCTCTGTGATATGTGGAACGACTTGAAATGCTGACGCTTGCTGAAGCCCAGAGGCAAAGTCTCTGCTCCGCTCTGAGCAGACCTGGAAGTCTGAGCGGGGAAAGGGGAGAGTTAGTGGGCTGCAAACACGAGATTTGTTGGTTTCTGACAGGCTTTGCTTCAGGGACTTCCTCACAGTTCAAACTGGTCAGAAAACAGTTTATTGAAGGTTATAAAAAGACATGGACCTACCAATTTATACTGATTCTTCTGAAAGGTTTTCCTAACTTTTTAACACTTTTTCATAATTCTATTAAGGATTTTATTTGTTAGATGAAAACAAAGTAGTGAAAACCTGCACAACAGAAGGAAAGTTCCGCTTAAAAGGTTCCTTTTTGATAAAGCTTATAGTTAAGAGCGGCTCAGGTTATCCGGAGCTATCTCTAAAGTTATGCTGCTATAGGCTTATACTTCCGGAGGACATAGGGACCCCTATTTCATCATTTTGCTTAATTATATATCTATTCTTCCACTCTGCAGAATCTGTTACTTCAATCTCTAACCTTATGCTCTCTCTGCTTTTTCTCATAGTAGCTTCACCTCATCTGTTCCTGTTTGGCTGTGACACCATCCTGGAGAGAAATATCAGCTGTGCTGCTGCCATCAACACCTTTGTTTATAGATGTTGGATATTAGCTTGTTTTTCCAATGTAGTCCTGTTTCTCTGACTGTGACTGGCTGGATGTGCTCTCTTCATCCTCTGAAATGGGAGCTGGCTTGGAGCTCGTCTGCCTGGCTGTATGTTTCCTGGACGGGGCCGCCTTTTACAGCTGCTTTTTGTATCTCTGCTTCTGTCTCCTTGAACCCCAGTTGGCCTCGGCTGGAGGTTCTGCTGGAGGTTTCTTCCTGTTAAAAGGGAAGTTTTCCTCTCCACTGTCGCTACAAGCATGCTTAGTGTGAGGGATTGCATCAGAGTCAATGAGGTAGAAAAATGAATCAATATGACTGTATGATCTGGTTGAATTATAAAGTGCCTTGAGATGACGTGTTGTAAATTGGCGCTATATGAATAAACTGAATTGAATTGAGTGCTTTCACAGGGGATTAAAAGTACTTTTTTTTTATTTCACCTACACCAACAGGGCTTACTGCCCAGCATGCAGGAGTTGAGACTTGGTGAATGAAAGTATAAAACTGAAACCAGACCCTTGATGGATTCCAACCCTTGAACCCATGACAGGAATTAGCCAAATCTCCCCTCACCTGACCAAAGTGAGCTGGGTAGCCCAACATGTGGACGTAGAGCAGCTTGGCCAGATTGTGGGAACGCCCGCCGTTGTCGGTTTGTCTGAACTGGGCCCGGATGGCGGCACACTCCCTCTGGATGACCCCCCGCTCCTCACACTGAGTCCTGGCCGACCGGATGGCTCGGATCATCTCCTGCAGGGCGACTGATGGAGACATGGCTGTGGATGTATGGAGGAGAGACACACGGCTTACTGCACTTCCTGTATCCACACATCCAGCTTTGTTTAACGCAGAGTTACTACCACGTTATTAACTAAGTCCATACCGTAAAAACCCAACTAAAGCGAAAGAAAAATGCAACATGTCAGCACTCTCTGACCTTAAACATGCATTACATCCGATGACACACTGAATTTGATCGACAACAGCGACCGTTACTATACTTTAATCACTTCGACGTCAAAAGAATAACAAATAACAATTTATCAGTAACGTTTCTTATCACTAAACTTCCTAAGTCGATGCTGCAGGTCATTGAACAGGAACCAGAGACTGACAGGACCGAGCTAACCTGCTCTGCTGGATGCTGCCAACGCTTTTAATGGAGACAGCTGGACTAAACAACGCGCTCAACCCTACGTGGCTTTATGTTTACGTGTCAAAATGACGGGCCTACCTCGATAAAAATGTCTGTAAATACAAAAAATAAAGCGATTAACCGATCCCCTCCAACACACGGCCGCATTCAGTTGGCTGAAAATCCAAATACCGTCTATCCATGCAGGTGACGTCAAAACAAAGACGCAGATCCACCCAACTTCCGGTACGACCTTCAAAATAAAATTTAAGACAGTTTTCTGTCAGCAAAAATGGTCACCAACAGAGCAAGGGATAACAAGTTTGCTTCTCTCTTTAGTCAACCAAAACTAATATAAATTGAAAATAACACCAGCCTTTAGGGGCACCATAAAATATAAAAGCCACTAGCTTTTTCTTATTTTTTTATTTCTTATTTTTATTTTGTTTTCCATTGTGTGTGATACATGTACACTTTCACCTTAATCCTTATTTATCTTGATATACTGTATATATATATTGTTTATTCTTAATGCAACTTTTTCCTCCTTGTTTGCACCTTCTTTAATTACTATGCCAATATGTGACCAGTGAATTTCTCCGCTGTGAGATCAATAAAGCTTATCTAATTTAATCTAATCTTGTCCTTTTGTTGTGTTTCATTGTGATTATTGTTTCCCTTTATTCCCTTATCAAAACCTAATTCCTCCTACAGTGGTGTTTTGTTTTTATTTTTCATGGCTGCAGCAAAACATTCTAACCATATGTTATCAGAGGCGAAGCCAGAACATTTTTATAAGGGTAGCCAGGCAATAACCAATGTACACTGAGGAGGTGCCAAAAGCGGATCAGCACCAGAACCTCAGGGTCAATCTACTGTTCCAACAGGAACAAACACAACGTCCATATTTCTAAAAAAGACAAACTATAGTTTCCTACAGCCTTTGCTAACAAATAAACGCATATATTTAAACATCCGTCCGGAAAAAAGGTATATTGGATAAAAAATATCATCCTGCATTAAATTGATATTTACAAGTACTAATATCTACATAAATTGGTAGTTTAAAAAGGTTTTTACCAAAATAGTTATTTACAGTATATATGATTTCACTGAAGACTCATAATTTTCTCTTTATGGCATATAAATGGCATGTAAATTTGGTTCATAACACTAGTTATCTATATATTATATTTATAGGACAAATCTATCAGTAAGATTCTGTTCATAATGGTATTCATCTCTATACGTATTCAGTAGAAACCCATGTCCTGTATTTATGGAACCATTATTTATCCTGCACTTGCTGCTATTGCACTTGTGGTTAGACCTAAACTGCATTTCGTTGCCTTGTACCTGTACCAGTGTAATGACAATAAAGTTAAATCTAATCTAATCTAATCTAATCTAATCTAATCTAATCTAATATAACACAAAATTTTGTTCTGAGAGCATGAATTCTGTACTGATTATCTCTAATGTTGGTATATTGATGTACATCATAAACCACAGTGTTTTTGTTGTCAAGAATTTTTTTTTATAAATATAAAATTAAATGGTTTTGAATATTTTACTTAAGAGAAAATAAATGGTAATGGTGGCCAATGATTGGCTAAGGGTGGCCATGGCCACCCCTGGTCCCCCATCTAGCTCCGCCCCTGCATGTGAGATCAGTGCAGGCAAACATGCAGAAGTCATGATGATAACCCCCTCACTGTTTGAATCACGCTTGACAGGCTTGGATTGTGTGTATATTTTGGTGGTCATTATTGAAAGTCTTGCAACTTTAATGTATCTCAGTTTTTAAAATTTCAAAATCAAAATCTGGTCTAAGTTATTGTGTTGACAAGTAGTCTGCTGTAAATTCACCTAAATCCAAGCAGAGCAGAATGGGTAGTTTGTTTTTAACTATTGTTTTTATGTATTCTTTGAAATCATACTGTGGTAGCCTTTTGTGTGTTGTTTTTTTAGGGGGGGGGGGCTTTCAGTATTAGTAGGGAAAACATACACAGCTATTTGGTATCCTTAGGAGAAGAGATCCAGAGTTAGCTCATAGCTTTAGCTCCTACAGCTAGAAACCACTTATTATGGCTGAAATCTTAAAGATATAGTGGAGGATTTTTTGCAACTTTTTTAAACAAACCTACCCTCTCCACTTTAAAAAAAAAATGCACATGCAAAACCCTGTACCCGTTCTAGAGAGGGAACGTCTATTAAAGCCCATTATCCTCGTGCACGCTCTGCTTAAAAGCTGTTGTTGCATCGCTCATCAAGCATACTTTCCAAAATAAGATTTGCAATTTTTCCACTATGTCAGACTCACCATCGGTTAGTGAAAATGGGGATGAGCACATAGGACTGCCTTAAGTAAACATAACATCAGAATGATTGACAGTTAGGAGGACCACTTATTTTGATGATCCATCTGGAAAAAGAACATCTCCCACTATACCTTTAAGAGGCACATAAAGGCAGGTACAAAGTCAGCCTTTTATCAACTGAAGAACATTTCCAGGATTAAAGGACTAATGTCCAAGCAGGATCTAGAAAAAAACCCATTCATGCATTTATCTTTAGTAGAATTAATTACTGCAACAGTGTCTTCATAGGTTTGCTTAATAGATCCATCAGACAGCTGCAGCAGATCCTAAACGCTGCTGCCAGTGTTCTCACTAGAACTAAGAAAGTAGAGCACATCAGCCTGTTTCTGAAGTCATTCCACTGGCTCCCTGTAGCTCAGAGAATAGACTTTCAAATCCTCCTGTTAGTCCATAAATCAATGGATCAGCACCGCAATACATAACAGATTTGTTGTCAGTGTATCAACCTCCCAGACCACTCAGGTCTTGGATATCCAGCATACCCTGTACGCCCAGACCTACAACCAAACATGGAAAAGCAGCATTTATTTTCTATGCTCCAATTTTCTGGAAAAAACTTCCAGAAGTCTGTAAAAGTGCTAAAAGCATAAGCTCTTAAATTAAAAACCCATTTGTTTAGAGCTGCCTTTGTTCATTGAAGTTAAACTGTTAACTGAAGTATTATTCTTTTAAGGTTGTGTTCCAACTGTTTTATTTGTTTTACTCATGTTTTTTATGTTTTTGTTTTTATCTTCATGTGAAGCACTTCAAATTGTCCATGTACTGAACTGTGCCATACAAATAAACTTGCCTTAATTCTGAGCTGGATTTAATTAATTTACTCTGTGTAAATAATAAAAATGTGTCTGTACATATCTAAACCATTTATTCGTATTTTATTATAATGAAACTAAACATTTATTTTTGCAACCATTCTTTTAATTTGGAGTATAACTGGGCAATAGTACTTAAAATGCCACTAACTCTTAACTCAATGTGCAATAAACGCTCAAAACAGTTAAACCTTTTATCTTCTACCATGAGCAAATTAGCATAGGTATAAAAAATGCTGCATAATTTAAGTTAACATCATGAATGACGATAAAAATTTAAAAGCATTAGTAACAATAACATTTGTTCTGTTTTTTTTTTTTTTTGTGTACAACAAAGCTTCATAAAAATATTCAGCTCCATGTTGCTAAATAAATATATGTTCCTAACAAGAGGTCAGTGGTGATAATAAAACATTAAAGATTTCCCAAGAGTTCAGTTAATAAAATCAAATAATCATTGCATGAAATATAAAATGCATTGAAGTTCCCTTTCAGATTTCAGGTTAGGATGCACTATGACTTTCTTATATGCGTATCTGGGCTGTAAAACAATTTCAGTTTTATTTGATTCTATTAGACTTCTGTAATGAGTCTCCACAGCCAGGCTTTTATTTTGAAGGTGAAACTCCATAGCTCTCTTTTCGTGTTAACAGCTGTCTTGACCCTTCCCAGTTCATCATACCTGTGCATGGCTTCCGCAATTCGATCACTTATCTTGGCCTAACTCCACCCTCTGCTGCACAAGCGCTTCAAATGGTAGATAAAACATTGATGAGGGGAAGGAGGGCCTCATTAATGGGAGGGAGCCTCATTGCAACTTCACTCCTTTGGATGCAGACAACAGGAGAAAGCTCATAAGGAGACCAGGGAAAGCCATTCTAAACAGGGGCAGATTTACCATTAGGCAATACTAGGCAGTTGCCTAGGACCCCAAGTTCCTGGGGGCCCCATAAAACTCTGTTTACATGTATGGTTTTTACAACTATTCCTTATTTGTGCACATTAATTATGCTTTTGATAAAAATCCTTTGGCTAAAATTCCATCAGAATGCTTATAATATTAAGTGTATCTCAGACCCCTCTAGTTGATTTAAAAAAAAAACGCCTAGAGCCAAATCAAGCGACTTTTTTCTGCTAATGGAGACTTTGTCGACAACATCAAAAAGCAGCAAACTCTGCTCTCCAGAGCAAGTAGATTGTTAACCCCACCTCCTGCTCTTCGCTATCTTGTCTGCTGTCATGATTCATGCAGCTATTATTTTTTTTATCCAATTGAAAAATGAAGAACAGATAAGCAGATCATGGCTTGTCTACAGTGAAAAGAAGGACTGGGTTATTTGTTTTTGCCATCGCCTTTTTGGAAACACAGGAAGCAGCAATCAGCTAAGTGAGCTTAGTGCTTGGAAAAAATCTTTCATTCCTTTCGAGAGAGCATGAAAAGTGAGCTGAGTACAAAAACATAGAGAGGAAGATAAGAAGAGAGGGACAAAACCTAGAACAAATAATGTATGTCTATTCTATTAACATTTCTCTATCTGTATAATGCGTCTGTTTTACGCATTATCTTCTCAATTCAGAGGGCCCCCTGCCTGTCTTTGCCTTGGGCCCCAAATTTCCTAAATCCTGATTCTAACAGGGATGCTCAGGTGAATAACAACATTTAATAAAAGTCATGCAGACAATACTGTACTTTGCAAAACTATCTTTAAAGTGTGGTGTAACTCAATTCAAAATGAATTCAGTTCAATTTGCATGTTTTCTAAGTCTAAGGCTTTTGTTTGAGCCACAATTTAAGCCTGAAACTCAATGCTGCTCCAGACATTTTGAATTGAGAAATCTTTCTGAATGGGAAGCGAAATGTCTTCAAACTTGGAAAACAAGTCCAGTGGTTTCTTTTTTAATGTTTCTGGAAATACCCTATAAGTATTTGCAAGATAGCATTTAAAATATCTGTAATATCTTTGAATGTTTTAACTTTTCTGTCAGACAAGTCAACAAAAGCCAACGCATTTGGCTGCTTTATTTGCTCTGCTGGGTT